CTGAGTGTGCAAACGAGGGTCTCTGATTTTTGTGCATTCTCTTGGGCTCTTTTCCTTCTATTTGTTCTGTTCAGTTCCAATGTGTTAGTTTTTGCATTAATACATTTTATTTTATTATTACCCTTCAGAAATCTGTTTGTTTTTTAGTGAGAGACAGAAAGGGAGTGGATCTGATGGGAGGGGTGGTGGGCAGGAACTGGGAGGAGTAGAGGGAGGGGAAGCCTAATCAGAATATATTTTGTGAGATGAAAATCTATTTTCAATAAAGGGGGGAAGCAGATTCAGAGCCAGCAGGACGGCTCAGTGGGTAAGGGTGCTTACCACCAAGCCTGACACCCGAGTTCAATCCCTAGGACTCACATGGTGGGAAGACAGAGCCTACGTTTGCCAGTTTTTCTTCTCCTACAAGGGTGTGGCACACATGCATACAGACAGAAACACAAGAAATGAAAAAGTGAGAGTCAAATCAAAGAATTAAACTTGTCAAGTGATGCTATTTCATATATTATTAAAAGTCCTCCAATAAATGGGGTACCAAGTTTTTTTTCTCTTAATTGCATTTCTATTGATAAGAAAAGTGACTCATCAGAGCAGTTGATTTGATTTTTTATGAATTACAAATACATCTGTTCAAGTAATCCATGAACTCTTGTAATAACCCATATTATCTCATGAAATTCAAATGGGTGCTATGCAAACTAAAACTCTCTGAGTTTGTCTGCATGAACATAAAAGCATTCTTCACATTTTACTCAAGTTCTGCAAATTCACATAATGCTGATACAGTTAAAGTCTATACTTTATTATTATTATTTGAGACTGGGTCTTGATGTGTAGCTTGGGCTGGCCTCCAACTCGGGTTCTTCCTGCTTCAGCCTCTTGACTGCTGGCATTAGGTGTGGGTGCCTTGCCTAATCAGGGTAAACCTTGGTATACTCTTCCACAACTCAAGCAGCCAATGTTGGCAGAAAATATGTGGTCATTAAACTCATTATCTTCTATTTATTTCAATAATTGTGTAAATTGTGATGAGTTACATTTGTGACTTTATCCGAAACACTTTTAATCACTGCTACCATAATATATAGGTGATTTCAGATCACATATATTTGCAATAAATACATCATGGTGGAACAAATTAAAAAGGGAAAAACAATTGTAAGAAATTCAGATCTCTGATGGAGCATTATCTTAATAGAAAATTTTCATATCTATCTGAAAGTGACACATATAAAAACCAATCTTAAAATGTTTGTAGCATGACTTTGATTTCACTTTGCAGTGCTGGGGTCACATAAAGAAGCACTGCACTGGTAAGCTAGAGCTGTCACCTAGGGTCAGGTTTTTGTTAAGGTTGCAAATAAATGAAGGCATTTCTTTATAAAATTATGCATTGTTTGAGACACAGCACCCAAAGTATCAGTTGGGTAGAACCTCTTACCTTATCTACTTATCTACCTACCTATCTCCCTGTCTCTCTCTGTAACCCTGGCTGGGCTGACCTGGAACTCACACTCTAGATTAGACTGGTCTCAAACTCACAGAGATCCAATCTGCCTGCTTCTGCCTCCTGAGTGCTGGGATTAAAACAACTATGCCCAGCCTCAGTACCTCTTACTGGTTTTTAAATAATAACTTTATTTTTTGAAATTACACTCCTGTCATTTCTCCCATTTCTCTTTCCTCCCTCCAGCCCTTCCCATGCTGACCCTTTGTTCCCTCTCAAATTCATGGCCTCTTTTTCTTTAATTGTTACATATATACATATGTGCATATGTGTGTGTATTCCTAAATACATGGATACAACTTGCTCAGTATGTATGTGACCTCAGGCTAATCACTTGGTGTTGGAGGACCAATTGGTGCTCTAAGCCCTCTGAAAATCACCTATTTTTCTGATGTTATTGGTTGTGACTAATTTCTTCAGTTATTTATTATTTTTACCAAAAGGCAGATTTTTATGTTAAAATGCATTTCATTTCCTGAAAAATTCTTTTTTGTGTGATTTATTATCTCAAAAATATTTTTACACAGCATTTTAATTTTTTTGCCATAGCAAGTTGTAATTACTGTTCTTTAGTTTGTGATATAACTCTTTTAAGGTATTTATTTTTTTCTTCTACTCTCTACTTGATTTCTGTCTCAAAAGTATATCTTTATCTGAATATTAAGATTTCTCCCCATTCTGAAAAAAAAATTAAGTAGGCCTGGCATGATGGCACACACCTTTAATCCAGCACTTGGGAGGCAGAGGCAGGCAGATCTCTTAGTTCAAGACCAGCCTGGTCTACAAAGCCAGTACCAGGACAGACACAGAGAACCCTGTTTTGAAAAAAACATTTTCTCCCCCTTCTTTTTGTGTGTATAGTGTGTGCATGTATGCACACAGCTGTGGTTGAACTCGCCTGTGTGTGCATCTAGAGGCCAGTGGTCAGTGTTAGGATCTTCCTCTGTTGCTCTTCATCTTAGTTTTTTGAACCTGGAGCTTGCTTATACCTAGGCTGGCAACTAGAAACCCCTCAGTATTCTCTCATCATCTCCGTGCCCACCCCTCACACTCCTCAGTACTGGCTGGGATCATAGTCTCATGCATCCATGCCATTTTTATGTGGATGCTGGGTATAAACTTAGAGTCTCATAGTTGTACAGCAAGTCTCCACAGCCCCTCCATTCTTAATTTTCATTTTGAAAATGATTATAATTGATACTTCAGTTTGCTTATCGATCATAATTAACTTGGGTGTTCCTGTCACTGGTGCTATTTGCACAATATGCTGATGTAAACATACTACATTTCTCCATTGTTTCCTAGGAATGCCATTAGACTCTGTTAACATGATTGGTGATGTTCTGTGTAACACTAGAATTGATGCAAACACCTGGCCTGTACACTGCCACATCTCACATTCTAAGGATGAAAGCAAAATACAGTCCAATAGACTGAAGCTGTGGCTAATAGGGAAAGGTTTGACTTGCATCAGTTGTTGATTAAACACATTAATGAAACTTTGTAAAAGTCAGTTCAGTTCTGTTGGTGTTTAGCCACATTAGCACAGCTCTACAATTTAGTAATGAAAGCAGAGTGGTTCATTTAGAGAAAGGAGGCAACTTGACCTACTTGAGCCAGACTGGCTAAGAACAGGGCAAGGTTATAAATAATTCTATATATTTCAATGTATAAAAACGTTATTTTAACCAATGTAATTTTATATCCTAGTCTGAGCCCATGTCATACCAAAGATCGTACTTTGAGAAGCAAACCAGTTACTTATTTGAAACTGTTTGTTTCTTTAAATAAAGCAACCACCTTCAGGAAGCAGTTAGAGGTTTACTTCTCAATTACATATGGTGTCATCTTGTGAGCTGAAGTTGCTCTTAGACCGAATCTCCTTGTGAATGTTGGCAGTTGGAGTGGTTTTATCTAACTGTTTTATCTAAATGATAGGCACTAATTTATGGAAAATAAAAACACAATTCATTCTTCAGGGAATGCTTAACATTCACCGAGGTACCAAGTGCCTGAAGCCAAGATTTCCAAAGATAAGGTCACCTTACTCCTTAATACATACGCTGAGCAGCAGGATAATTAATCCTTCTCTTCTTTTTTTTTTTTTTTTTAAAGATTCATTTATTTATTATGTATACAGTATTCTGCCTACATGTGTCCTTGCAGGCCAGAAGAGGGCACCAGATCTCATTATAGGTGGTTGTGAGCCACCATGTGGTTGCTGGGAATTGAACTCAGGACCTTTGGAAGAGCAGTCAGTGCTCTTAACCTCTGAGCCATCTCTCCAGCCCCCTTCTCTTCTTTTAGGCACCTGATTCTAGAAAGAATGATAGTCCCTGGGGTGTTAAAGTTTGTTCTGGATGTTTGTGGGAATGCTAGGAGTTGACCCTGAGAACTTGAAGACTGTCTTAGAGAAATCCTGATTGACAAGTGTGAGGGTGTGTGTTTAGTAATCTTAGATATTCTCAAGTCTTTAAACACATTCACTTAAGTTCTTACTGCTTTGAATAAATGTCATGCCATATGTTTGTGTGTAACTGTTTTCTTAAATCATTTCCCCCTGTCCCTTCCATTTTTTATCAACTAATTTCATACATAAGAGACACATTTTTGGATTCTGTTACAGATAACCTACGTTTTACTAATTGCTGTGCTTTCAAAATTTTGTTTGCTCAGAATGCTATTTTCATTATTTTTTGGTGCTTAATAAACAAGTGGTTTTATATAAAGCTGCATATTGAAAACAAAACAAAAAATAAAAAAACCCTTAGTCCTAATCTATAAGTAGTTTTTGTTAAAACTGACCTATTCCAGGAAAAAACTAAATGCTAATGTACAAATCCATGTTTATTTTGTGTAATTCCTTGTACTGTTTACTTACTGACTTGCTACCATATAAACTATCAATTTTTAAAAATACTGTAAACATTTTTTTTTCTCAAAGCCTTATCACTGTACTAAAAGGTGCAGCCTCGGACTGGAAGATCTTTCCAACTCACCAGAATTCTCCTTCTATTAATTAAATGTTGAATATGAATTTTCAGCTTTTCTCTGCAGGTAGTGCCACAGGTTAATTAGCTTTTCTCCACTTTCCACTTTAGTTTCTCCTTCCTGAACCCCCAGTAACTTGGGTAGAGAATTATCACTAGAAGGTGTGAGGCTTAATGCCTCCAGGAAAAAAATGGGCACTTTTGTTTCCCTTTCTGTATGGCTCCACTAACAAAAATGGAGCCATGAAGCAGCTTATTTCAGAAGAAGTGCTGAAGAGGTTTTTAAAGAAAACCGTGAAAAGATGCTAGTGTTCATCGCCTCCGTGCCTTTAAGAAAAGGCTTTTAAAAACGTTCCAGTGTTGGAGTCCAAATCCTCTGTCAGCTTAGCTCTGCACAGTGGCCTGCAGAGCCTGTGACTGCTGGCAGCAGCCAGGCATCTCAGTGCCCACTGGTGTGCTTTTCTCAAGCTCTTTACACACATTGATGAGTACTTTCTTTGCAGTTATCGTTGTGACGATTTTGTGGTCAATGACACCAAGCTGGGCCTGGTGCAGAAAGTGCGAGAACACTTACAGAACTTGGAAAAGTGAGTAGTGGGTCCTGGAACGAACGGGGAGGGAGGGCCACTCAGTCACAGAGGAGGGTTTGGAGAGCATTGTAACCAGCACGATACAAATGCAGTGGAAATGTTGATAAACAAAGCCTTGGGTTTAGATATCTGAAACTCTGCCCATACTTCATTCAATACTTTCCATAAACCATATCCAAGGTCCAAGAGCCTGTATTTAAATTACTACCCACAAAGTTACAAGCTATTCAGTTCACACTCATAAGGAAGAATTTGGTGGTTGCAAGGAAGCATCATAAAAGGACATTAAGATAATTGTAGAAGTATTTGGCATTAAAAAGTTTATGCTGAATGTATTGAAGATCTGCTTTGAAAGACAGATTTCTGTATTATTAAGAGAAGTTAGGTTCAAGCGTCTGACTTTGGCACTTTGCCAATAAACCACAGCATAGGACCTCAGTTTCTTCTTCTTTTTCTTGGTAGAAAAGTACATAGAACTTGAAATTACAAAGAGCTTTGTGACCCTAAAAAACTAAAGAATTTATGTGAAGACTTGTCTTGCTGTAGCCAAATTGCTTATTCAGATAAAACTCCAGATAAATAGAAACCCACAGAGCAATGCCTTTGAAGCTGCATGTCATGTAATGACAGCTGCCTCAAGTGAAATCTGTGTAGCTCATCACAGATCACCCACATTGTCAGGTCCATCTGATTTGTTTTGGCAATTGGTGTATTGAAAGTATTGTGAAAATACGCCATCTAGAATGTCTCTTGATGTTATAATTGTAAACTAGTAGAATATTTCAAAATAAACGGAGAGGAAAAAATACATTCTGTTCCAACACTATATGATGTCTTTGTTGACTAAAGTTTTTTATGTATGTCTCACTGCCTGAATAGATTATAAAGCTGAAAGGGAAGAATCAAAATAGTTAACATGTTGGGTCCAGGTACTTTGTGTCATTTTTTGACTACTTCCTTTTTCAAAGTGCTTTTAGTTCTCACTGGAGGTGAGCAGCATGGGGCTATATGTATGACTAGAGACAGAGGCCCTGAAAATCCTCCAAGTCACTGAGAAACTGATTTGTCAATTTTAATTAAGTTTAAATAGCTACATATAGTAAGGAGTGATCATTGTGTTGGATAGTGTAGGTCTAGAGTAGTGGTTCTTAACCTTCCTAATGCTGTGACCCTTTAATATACTTCCCCATGCTGCGGTGACCCCGAACCATATTTTCATTGCTACTTCATAACTGTAATTTTGCTACTGTTATGAGTTATAATGTAAATATCTAATATATGACCCTGTTAAAGAGTCATTTAGCCCCCAAAGGGATTGTGACCCACAGGTTGAGAACCACTTATCTAGAGGCGTCTACTATTTTGAGAATTACAGTATAAAATATAACTTGTATTTTAAAAAGCCAGATGCTTTATTTAGGTAGTTTAAACCCAAAAGGTATTGGTCATGTTTACTAAATAGCATGGACATTTGTTCGTGTGACTTTATTTCCAGAACTGGTAAAAAGAATAGTTTAATGCTGGAATTAGTCAGTGCAATTTGCCACCAGAGGTCACAAGTGGCTTGAAGGAAATGATATTAGACCTATGTTCCAAAGACTGTAGTTCATACGGAAGTTATGGAAAGAGAAAAAAGTATGTCTTTGTTCATTTCAAATTGTAGAAGAGTTGGCAGACTGAAAGCCTGTACTGTTGTTAATGGTAATTTTTATTTTCTTCAGGTTAGTTCTCCTGATAGTAACTTTAAGGAGATATTTTTAGGATGGGAATAACTCTGATGAATTTTAAGCAAAGATTTTTCTAATATAGTAAGGGTTTATTTTCAAATGTCCTTTGCAGTATAACTAAATCAGATGAGTGAGTTTATACATGTCTATGCCCTTGTACTAGCTCATTCCTCACAGACTGAAGTGAGTCCACTAAGGCAAGCAAGTGAAATTTGACACCTTTTCTAGATTAAGAAAGAAACAGCATATTATTTGAGACTAGCCGTTAAGTTTCCTGTCAATCATGTAAGGCCAGGGTTTTCCTGTGGCCATGAGGAACAGGTCTTCGGAATTTTGAAGCTTCACAATCTATTGGTTAGATAGAGTGGTGGTGGGGCAGGCATATCTCACAGACCACAACTCCTGACCAGCTTTGTTGGGAGTAGCGTCCACTCTCCCCTGCGGTGGAAGAGCAGTGGGGACTTCCAGGGAAGTGAAAAGTGTCAGCTCCCCTCGGATACTGTGGGCCTAACAGGTCACTTGATGGCCTCACAAAGCAGCCAGACAGGATTCTTTCTGCCTTAGACACTGAGGGCAGCTTGGGGTTGTCCTTTGGCCTGCTGTGTAGCATGTATTCATTAATGTCTTTTAAACTGTTTATATTTTAATAGCTCAGCTTTTACAGCTGACAGGCATAGAAAAAGAAAATTATTGGAAAACTCATCACTGAACAGCAAGTTATTAAAAGTAAATGTAAGTAATTAAATTTTATTCCTATGTAAGAGTTAAGATCTAATCACTGTTACAGCTCTAACAAGGGCTCTTACCTGATATAAACTTACTAATGTGTCTTGATTTGAAGTGTTTTGCAGAAATGTTTGCCACTTATAAATACCCCTCTGCCCCCTCTGGAGGTGGTCTATGTAGCCCTGGTTATCCTAGAATTCTCTGTGTAGACAAGGCTGGCCTCAAACTGAGAGCTCTGCCTGCCTCTGCCTCCCCAGTGTTAGGATTAATACCACCCTGCAAGCAATTCACTGTTTGTGGTTTTTTGTTTGTTTGTTTTATTGTTGTTTGAGACAGGGTCTCACTGTGTAGTCCTGGCTAGCCTGAAACTTTCCATGTAGACCAGGCTGGCCTTGAACTAAAGAATCAGCTTGCCTCTGCCTCTTGAGTACTGGGATTAAAGGTGTGGCTCTGCACACCCTGCACACCCTGTGCAAGCAGTTCACTCCTAGTGCTTACTTAGGCACCTTCTGTGGTGCTCTCCGAGAGCCTGCTTCCTTCTGGTAAAGTTCCTGTCTGAGGCTTTCTGTTCCTGTGATGAAACATTAGGACCAAAGCAACTCCAGGAGGAAAGCGTTTATGTGGTTTACACTTCTACATCACTGTTCATCATTGAAGGAAGTCAGGACAGGAACTCAAACAGGGCAGGAACCTGGAGGCAGGAGCTGATGCAGAGGCCATGGAGGGGAGCTGCTTACTGGATTGCTTCCCATGGCTTGCTCAGCCTGCTTTCTTATAGGACTCGGGACCACCAGCCCTCGGCCTTCCCCATCAATTACCAATTAAGAAGATGCCCTACAGGCTTGCCTACAGCCTGGTCTTAGGAGGGCTAAGTTTCTTGAGGTTCCCTCCTCTCTGATGACTCCAGTTTGTGTCACATTGACAAACTATCAAGTGCAATTCCCTAGATTCTGTTGGTGTGAGCTTTTGGTAGGGTGTGTTTTGTTTTGTTTTGTGTTTGCTTCAGGGCTTTTCATTAATATAACACCATGGAAGTATTCATATTCATTTTGGAAACCACTTATAAATTAATAGTTTTAAAGTTACTACATATATTTAAATGACCCAAGCAGCATTTTTGCCTTGCATTTAATCCTTTGCTGTCACCGGACCACCTTTGCCTAAAGTTTTAAAGAAATAGCTAAGGTGCTGTTTGAGCCATCTGAATTACAGGCAGAGATAGATGGGTTGGACTGGAGGATTTACCTCATGGTGTAGTATTCAGATACTTTGGGGGCATTTGTAGAATTTCAGAAAACCAATCCTCCATCTTTAAGAGTTCAGGTAGTGTTTTATGGTTCATGCCCATTGCTGGGAAAACGTCTGTCACTTGAGTATGCTTTTCAGTTAAAAGTTGGGGTTTACATGTTTGTGATTTTCAATTTATATTTTTAGTAGAGTCTTGTAAATATATTAACTTAAAATGTATTTCCCTGTTTTGCATCTGGGGTACTTGTTGATACTTATTTTCTCAGAAACAGATGCTAAAATAGTGTAGAGAGTTTGTATGAAATATTCACTGGGCAGAAAAGGGAAAGGAATACTTGCAGATAGGCATGGTGTTGGAGTTTGAAACAGAGCTTGGCTTAGCATTGGTGTTTGAAACAGACATCTTGGCAATGCTGATGGTCTCTTCTTCCATGTCACAGGGAAGTACGACTGCCATCTGTGCCACAGGCCTTCGGAATTTGGGCAACACGTGTTTCATGAATGCTATCCTTCAGTCGCTCAGGTAAGGAATGCTCCAGTCAGAGGTTTACATATTGGACACTACAGACCAAGAGCAAGGCTCAGTGTTTTCCGAGACTGTTTCTGACTCTGCTCTAGTTCCTGTACTTTTTCCTCATCAGTAAAGTTCAGGGAATGGTTCCTACTTCATACAGTGGGAGGAAAGATTAAATAATGTAACTGTCTAAACTCCTTCAAGCACTTTTGTTAGAAAATCACGGTTAGCTCTTAGTCCTCTTTGTTTCTTGAATGGCTACAGGAGGGATCGGGAAACCTCTGTTTGAAAGGTGGGTGGGATAGTAACTATTTTAGGCCGTGTACATGTTTCTCTCCCATTTTATCCCTTTCAACTATTTCTTAGCTTTTTTTTAAAAAAATAGCTTTTATGTAAAACTCAAGGCAGATAGATGCATATCATCTCAGCTACTCAGGAAGCTTAGGCAGGGAGATTGCCAGCTCACGCCTGGACAACATAGCCAAACCCCAGTTAGAGAAGGAAAAGACAAGTTAAAAACAAACAAACAAAAAACTTCGTTGAAAACATAAAAGTTCCCTGGCTGAGGGCTATATCTGGCTTTTAGGCTTTAGTCTGTAGACTCCTAGGCTACAGGGAACCTGGTTCAGAGCTTATTTCAGCCACTGGTTAAGTCTCCATCATGGTCATGAGACTATCACAGAGAGAGTGATAAAAAGAAAGCGGCCGATACAGCTGACCGCTTTCAGTAGAAGAAACTACTCTGAAAGTTGTATACTTTTCGACTTTAATGAGGTGTCAAAGGCTGGAGTCAGTTATTTTCCCAGTCACACTCCAGTCAAAGAGTAGAGCCACACTGACTCTGCCTTAGAGGCTTTGTCTTCCCACTCACCCATTCTTCCCCAGAGAGATCTAGTTACCTCTAATTGGTCCTTGTGAGTCTCTGTAGCACATGTAAATAATGTGATTGGTTTCATGGTTTGTTTTATTTGAGGGGATTATTTTATTCAATACCTGGAAACAAGCACCCTAAAAGAGAAGTGGAAGATAAGGTGTAGCTCAGGCCGTGGCGGGATCCCCAGCACACATGCCGGGTGTGCTGGTGTAAGGCAGGGCGATTAGAAGTCTGAGGTCATTGTTGGCCACCACATAGGAAGTTCAAGGCAAGAGAAGGGGAGATGTGGAGGGAAGGAGGAAGGGACAGAATAACCTGTGATGAAGGGAAATGGAATTTTTGAAGAGAGGTTTACTGTTAGTCACTTGTTGATCCCCACAAAGTTGAGGGAATAGCAGTGAACTCGAGGAAACAGGACTGCATTGAGTACTGCCTGATGAGAAAGGAAACGATGACATCTTGAAAATTCTTGTCTAGATTGTGTAGAATCTTTAAAACTGTCCTTTAAATTCTTTTCTTTAAAAAATAATTTTCTTCACTTCCTTTTCAAATAGTAACATTGAGCAGTTTTGCTGTTACTTCAAAGAACTGCCTGCAGTGGAGTTGAGGAACGGAAAAACAGCAGGAAGGCGGACATACCACACCAGGAGCCAAGGGGACAGCAACGTGTGAGTTGTTGGAAATGGCCTTTCTGGCTCTGAATGCACACAAAGGAGTTCCTCGGTGACTTTTAGATTATTTGAGCTAATAAGTAGATTTTATAAAGCTCTTCTAACACTGGGTTAATCTAGCTCATGATCTTAATAATTGTGTTTTTATTTCTGTTTATTATAATGGGAAGGATAGCTAGTGCTGCACTTGAGTCTTTGCAGACATCTGTGTATGCACAGACTTCAGGTATGGACGTCACTAAGTGCTGCTAGTTCATCTTAATCTGTTGATCTGTTATTGATAGTGTTAGGTAAGCCAGTTTGGGATAATAAAATTAATAGCCAATTTGAGTTAATATGGAGGGGTGAAAAACAGAAGTGGTCATCAAGGATCATTTTACATTCAGATTCACTGCAGCTTCGCCCATCTGGAGCTCAGAAGATCTGCTCTGTTAGACTAATAGAAAATAGCGCATCTTTTCCATACCTTTATTGAAGCAGAGATACGGATTACCTGTATGCATGGAATGTTTTTCCTACCTGCCTGCCTATTTCACTCCCACACATACCCCTTTCCCACTAATTTTGAAAGGCCATTTTCCTTGCGTCAATGAGAGGGGGGGGGGGGGGAGGGGGGAGAGAAGAGAGAGAGAGAGAGGGGAGAGAGAGAGAGGAGAGAAAATATGTTAGAATATTGGGTAATGTAGATAGAGCCCCAACATGGAGAAGGGATCATGTGTTGTGTGAAGGGAATTTCCTTTGGTGGCAGCTTATAGGATGAATAGGAAAGTGCCTAATTTAAGGGGCTTCCATTGTGTCAAAGTAAACAGCAGGGAAATAAAGGGGAGAACACATGTGTGCAGAAGTTAAGAGAGGCACCATCAGTCTTCAGTGTAGTGGTATTATTTAGAGTTTGGTTCAGACTACAGAAATTGTAGAGAGAGTTTACTGAAGAACTGTTGGTGAGTCTGCATCACTGGATAGGTTGAAAATCAGGTCCAGAGCTAGCACCACAGCCACAGTCATGCACAGAACTGCTGGAGACAATGCAGCCGCTGCTCATGCCCATGGCCTTGGGGTGGTACTTGTTACCTCTGCCACCTCCAAAGAGGATCTGGTGCTGTCTCTGCTTTTTGTCACCTAACCCTGCTTCAAGTGTGCAGAACCCAGACCATGTACTTTGCTCCATCTGCAAGGAAGGCTAAAAGAGGGCACCTTACGGCTGTTCGTTTCAGTGTCTGTTGGGAGGTTGGCCAGTGTACACGGTTTGCTGTCAGAGAGAACCTTCCATCAGGTATCCAAGAGTGCTTAGTTATATTGCTAGATCCAGTAACTGAATTCCAAGTGTATCAGTTTAGCTACATGCACAGAAGAATCAAAACTAACTGTAACTTCAATGAAATATCCATGGTTTTATTTCTCATATGAATTTAAGAGATTATCTGTTGAGAACTATTTTGCAAAGTCATAAGGCTCCTTCTTGCTCAGGGGAGCAGCTTTTGTCCACATAGTCCCAGATAGTGGGGAGCTCCCTTACTAACATGTCCTAGCAATGGGAAAAAGAAGGGGTTGCTAAGGACTACCTTTGTTCTGAGGAAATTCCCCAGGAAGTGGCACACTCCCAAGTTTTTATTCTAGGAGTTCATCTGCTTGATTAAAAAAAAAAATGGGGGTCTGTCCCTGTGAAAGAAGTGAAGACTAGCTGTTGGGGGAAGAGCTGGAGAGCACAGAGCAGTGCACATAGTGACTGTGAAGTGACCAAGGAGATGCCCAGTAGGAAGTTCCTGTCAAGAATGGGAAAAACCTAAATAAAAGCAGTCATGAAGGCAGACATGGTGGGCACACCTTTAATCCCAGCAGAAGCAGAGGAGTGGAGTCTGAGGCCAGCCTTGACTACATAGCAAGTCTAAGATAGCCAGAGAACATAGTGAGATCCTGACACAAACACCAAACACCACTCAACGAAAGTTCCTTCTAGATTTGGGTTTATGGGTCCATGTGTGGAGTTAAGCCCCGAAGCCTTGTGACCATGTGCACTGTCTGAGGCAGAGATGAATAGGGACAACCTGGAAGGGCCCTGCTAGGGAAGAAGGAGACAGGCGGGAGATGGGGACATTCATTGCTTATTGACATTTTTTTAAGTGAGCATGTTTAAGTAATTTGCTTGTAAATTATCCACTGCTTTATTGTTTTGTATGTTTCCTTTAAATTTAGTTAACAAAATGATAGTACTGTGACACATTCAAAGATAACTATATAGTTAAAATTAGTTTTGTCAACGATACTGCTATTCATATGGTTGTTTTTTTTTTTTTTTTTTTTTGGTTTTTCGAGACAGGGTTTCTCTGTGTAGCTTTGCGCCTCTCCTGGGACTCACTTGGTAGCCCAGGCTGGCCTTGAACTCACAGAGATCCACCTGGCTCTGCCTCCCGAGTGCTGGGATTAAAGGCGTGCGCCACCACTGCCCGGCTCATATGGGGTTTTTAATGCTCTTACATAGCTATCAGGCTGAGTTCAGAAGACTAAGCCCTTGACATTTTTTCATTTTTTACTGTCTTTTAGACAGTTGAGCCACATGTGTTGAAATGAAATAATGGTCTTTCGTGGATGCTGAAGCTATCATCTTCCCTCTGTTCCAGGTCTCTGGTAGAAGAGTTTAGGAAGACACTGTGTGCTTTATGGCAAGGCAGCCAGACTGCATTCAGTCCCGAGTCGTTGTTTTACGTTGTCTGGAAGATCATGCCTAACTTCAGGTAAGTATTGAAGGGTGCTTAGGACATCTGTGCTCTTCCTGCTGTTTCTTAGCTTCCTACAAGACTGATGTTACTACAGACGCTCTAAGCAGCGCTTTCTTAGATGAGCAGCCGGCACTGAGTAAACACTGGTTTATTTAAAGACCCCTATAAGTAGTCCATGTGTGCTAGGAAAATGTAATGGACGACGAATGTTCCTGGATTGTTCTAAGGCTTTTTTTTTTTAAAGTTTTATTTTTATGTTCATTGTTTTGCCTGCATGTATGTCTGTGTGAAGGTGTCAGAAGCCCTGGAAATGGAGTTACAGACAGTTGTGAGCTGCCATGTGGGTGCTGGGAATTGAACCTGGGTCCTGTGGAAGAGCAGCCAGTGCTCTCACTGCGCCTTATCTCCAGCCCTGGTTCTTTCAAGTTTTACAGAGAAATAATTGTCATCATGTACTATCTTATTATTCCAACTGAAAGAATGAAGTGAGGGCTGGGGCTCAGTCAGTCGGACCACTAGCCTGGTGATGTGGGAGGGAGGGAGGCAGGGAGGCAGGGAGGCCAGCCACAGGTTCAGTCTGTAATACTGCCACACACAAAGAAAGAAAAGGAAACCAGTGGAAACCCAGTGTCAGGCACTGTGCTGGCCAGCTTCTAAAGCTCTGAAACAGTTAATCCAGGTTGACCGGGAGTCACACTTGGGGAGATAGTAGGGCCAGTCCTGCTTAGACCTGTCCTTTCTCTCTGGTAGCTTGTCCTGCCTCTCTTGGTTACCTATCCCTGTGATAATTTGGGTCATTATAGATGTATGGTATGCCAGTGTTTGCTACATTTGGCTGACTTTATTCTTTTATTGAAGCAAGTTATAGCTCTTAGAAGTCATGATTTGGCACCTTGCATATATCCTTTGTTTAAAAATCATATGTTGTGCCGGGCGGTGGTGGCGCACGCCTTTAATCCCAGCACTCGGGAGGCAGAGCCAGGCGGATCTCTATGAGTTCGAGGCCAGCCTGGACTACCAAGTGAGTTCCAGGAAAGGCGCAAAGCTACACAGAGAAACCCTGTCTCGAAAAACCAAAAAAAAAAAAAAAAAAAAAAAAAAATCATATGTTGTAGTGAAACTTAACAGTATATCTTGTACCTTTTAGTACAGAGAAATGTTTAAAAGGTAAAAAATCAAAATCTTGTAGTTTACTGCTTACCAAGTGAGTTGAGCCTCTGAGTGTCTGACTGAACTGCCGTTAACCCTGGGTTTGTAAGTTTCATCTCAGAGACTCCTAAGAAATTTACAATCACCTGAATCTAAGCAGGAAAAGTAGAAATGACAGTTAAGATGCCACTCATCAGTCTTTAAATTAAAAACCAAGCAACATCTGGGTGGTGGTGGCACATGCCTTTAATCCCAGCACTTGGGAGGCAGAGCCAGGTGGATGTGAGTTCGAGGCCAACCTGGTCTACAGAGCAAGATCCAGGACAGGCACCAAGACTATACAGAGAAACCCTGTCTCGAAAAACAAACAAACAAACAAACGAAAGAACCAAGCAACAAAGCATTTTGGCCAAGGCAGGACATGTTACCGCTAAGTTTAGAGAAGTCAAAACAGAGAAGCAGCTTGCTCAGTCTTACACATCTACTTGGTGGTCTGACCAAAGTTAGAACCCAAAGTCTTTAGGAGTTGGTTCATAGCAGATGTGGCTTGGGTTTCCTTGGTCCTTCCATCCCAAATGTATTTGACACACCCCATATTTTGACACAGTGCAGTCTGCTTTTCTCCAAACATCACCTCATCACTGTCCTTTCTGGTTTCTATAGTCCAACTGTGAGCATGGTTTAGTTTAACTGCTGAGTTTACTGATTTTAGTATTTCTACTAATAAATGAAAGAACTTCAGAAGAGATAACCAGGTTGAGAAATTTACCCAGTCTCTCAGGTGATTTCTGACACACATGAATTCTGATGTCTCCTTACTTACTGTTGAGCATCAGCTGGTCTTTCTTCTGGTCCTGCAGTGATTGTTCTCCATTTTTTGTGTACTCAAAGAATTTCCCTTTGTTGAAAGACGCAGGTCTTGAGATTGTCACCACACAGCACCGAGTTACAAGCCCAGAGGTGGGCTTTCTTTGCTGTGAGTTCTGTGAGGACGCTGATGGCAGGTTCACTGAGCTCTGTGGGTAGGACTTTCTTCTCAAGGCTCTTACAGATAGGTGTGGTTCTTAAACCATGGTCATGCAGAAGCACAGTGAGTCTTGAATTATGCTTCCATTGTATTTATTTATAACCCTGACCATTTTCCTATTTGTAAATCCTGTTTTCCTTGATTAAGACAGGGCAAGGTCTGGGGAAACTGACTCCTGGAATGAACTTAGAGGGTTCTGAAAAACATGCATGTAGATAGATGTAGGAGCATCTTTTATCTACAAAGTGAGCATGGCAAAAACCATGAATGCAGCCAGCAGCTTTTGTGTACACGTCAAGGCTACTTTCCCCCACTGGAACCAAAAGCCAGTTACCTAGCAGGGAAAGTTAGTTCTTCACATTCTAGTGTGCATATCCACTTACTATACCTATGGCTTCCTAGTATGCCCAGCCTTGTCCATCTTTTTTTTTTTTTTTTTTTTTTTTAGAAAAATATATTCAGCCTTATTTTAGTAGGCCAAATATGCATGGTTCAAAATTTAAAAGATTAAGATTAGAATAGGCACTGAGTGTTTTTTTTCTCTCAGTCCCTCATTATCCTCCTGTTCTCTGAAGCACCCAGTTACCTGATCTCCATGTGTGCTTTCAGTGGTAATCTTTGTACATGTTCAAGTGTATTTAATTTAAAAATACGTGATTCTATGAATAGCCTCTTTACTGTAGCTTTGTAGATTTGCTTGTAGGTATGTGCATGTGTGTTGCTTAGATGGACAGCCTGTGCACATATGTATGGTTATGTGAATGCAGACTTGCTGGGTCGAAGTGTTTGTGCTCTGGTAACAGATGGTCTTTTATGGTAGCCTCTGGTACTACTGCTTCCATCAGCATGCGTTTGCCCTGTGGTCTGGCTGTCTATTTGCCCTGTGGTCCCATACTCTTTCTTTAGGATCCAGCATATTCACTCCATGGAAGCCTCTTCAGAAATTCAATCAGCTCATGTGGTACTCACTTGCATTTCACATTTACTTGCCATTTCTGCTTCCATGTACAACCTGATTGCCTCAACTTCCTAAAACATAACTTCTTTTAAAAAATTCAGTTCTTGTTATAATTCACGTAAGGCATGGGAGAATGATTTCACCTTACGTTAGTGATTCTTGGCTTTCTAGACAACATAAAAGATCTTTTGAGATTTTCAATCTTTTGAGATATTTGTGAAAGAGGACTTTAAGATACTGTGCGCTTCTTTATTTAAACAGCATTTGTTCTGGTAGGAGGTGTGCTGTTGCATGCTTATGCATTGTTGGTAAACACATTCATTTCTGTCATTTTCAGGTTTTATATGACAGTGCCAAACACTGGGCAAAAAATAGCTCAATATATTTTAGTTTTGTAAGTGTTCTGGCCAAAAGAGTAACTTACAATGCTTTTATGAATGTTGAAATATTTTAAATATGAATAGAACTTAAAATTCTACCAGGTATGCAAACAGCATAATAATAAATCATTTAGTCAAGAGCCATTAATGAGATAGGTGTGATGACACACATTTGCAATCCTTGCTCTCCGGACTGAGTCAGGTGGATTGCAGGGTTGAAGTGGGCTACACACACTGTAAGACTTTGTTCCATCTTCCATTCCCAAAGAAAAAGAAAACTCTAATATGTTTTAGATATTTTAGAGGCTGTTTATCCTAGACTGATAGGCTTTATGGACGCACGTCTTACTCTTTTTTTCTTTGTTGTTTTTTTGGGACAGGGTTTCTCTGTATAGCCCTGGTTGTCCTGGAACTCACTCTGTAGGCCAGGCTGGCCTCAAACTCAGATCTCCCTGCTTCTGCCTCCTCTGAGTGCTGGGATTAAAGGCGTGCATCACCACAACTGTTTTGGGGGTTTTTACTCTTTTTCTCTTTGAGGGGCCCGCCACTCAGCTCCCAAATAAATCACACACAGAGGCTTATCCTTAATTATGAATGTCTGGCCTTAGCTTGCCATGTTTCTTGCCAGCTTTCCTTAAGTTATCCCATCTACCTTTTGCCTCTGGGCTTTTCCCATTCTCTTACTTCCGTAAATCTTACTCCTACTCTGTGGCTGGCTGTGTAGCCGAGTGGCTGGTCCCTGGAGTCCTCCTCCTTCCTCTTTCGTTCTTTGATCTTTCTTGCCCAGATTTTTCCTTCTATTAATTCTTTCTGCCTGCCAGTCCCACCCATCCTTTCTCCTGCCTTGCCATTGGCCATTCACTTCTTTATTAGACCAATCAAGTGTTTTAGACAAACACAGTAACACAGCTTCACAGAGTTAAACAAAAGAAACATAAAAGAATGCAACACAGCTTTACATGATTAAACAAATGTTCCACAGCATAAACAAATGTAACACATCTTAAAATAATACTCTACAACATCTGTTTCCTCATCTAATATGGCAGCTCTACTTCAGTGTAGTCTCCCGAGTAGCAGGGGAGAATACAGACCCCACTTGTGTATAATGATTTTAGACCATCAGGTGTTTTAGACAGGCACAGTAACACAGCTTCACAGAATTAAACAAATGCAACATAAACAAAAGTAACACACCTTAAAATAATATTCCCCAGCACACCTGCTATTTTACTCCTGTTTTTATGTGTGGTATTAGAAATTGGACTTAGAGCCTTGCACATAGTAGGTAAGTGCTCTACAACTGAGCTATCCTCAGCTTTTTTTTGTTTGAGACAAAGTCTCATTAGGTTGTCCAGGCTGACCTAAACTTAGGATCCTCCTGCCTCATTCTCCTGAGTAGCTGGGGAGAATACAGACCCCACTTGTGTAAAATTATTTTGGTTTTTTTTTCTGTTGAGATGAGGTCATTACTCGGTTGTCTAGGCGGGGTCTGGACTTGGTGATCCTCCTGACTCAGGATTACAGGCGTCCTCTGCCACATCAAACCTAGCTGCTCTTGGCTCTGACCCCCCATTGGTCTTAGCCATCTTGTAGATTATTCTGTTTAGGCAGGACCAATACATAATAACATACATTATTCAGTGTGTTGCTTTCCAACCTGACCAGGCGCCTCACTGATGACAGTTAGTCTGGTTATTCTTTATCAAAATAGTCATTTGTCTTCAAAATGTGTGTCTTAATATGCCACAAGTTGTTGTGAAGAGACCCTTACCCCTTGTCCCTCTACTGTGCTTCATCAGTGTGTCCTTTCTTGGCCTTCTTCCATTTAGAAAGGACACTTCAGGTCTGTTAGGCATCCTGTATGTGCAGTGTGATTTCTCACATCACTTTGAGAGATTTTCTGATAGTCTTTTTGTAGGCATCAAAGAAGAGGATAATCTTAGGTCTAACAATTTGACTGTAAAGAACCTTCGTTATTTCCTTTAGTCTTTTCTCTTCATTCTGGTCTGTCATGGAGACTGCATTTGGGTCTTCATAACCCATTTCTTCATTAGTTCACAAGCAGTTACTGGTGACACCTGACACGTACAATGTGCATGCCATTTATCTCAATTACAAAGCAAGAGAAATCTAAGGTAGCTTAAGAGGATTCTGAACCTGGATTATGTAACTGGGAGACAACTGAAAAAATAAGATACTAAATAATACTTAAACAGACTCATTGACTAATCTGAAAGTCTTTAAAATAAAATCAATTAATTATAGAGTGCTGGAAAGATGGCTCATTGGTTAAGAACACCTGTTCTTGCAGAGGATATGGCTTTGATTCCCAACACCTACGTGATGCTCATATGGCTGGTAAATTCCGTTCCAGGGGATCCATCAACTACTTCTGGCTTCCGTGGGCACCAGACTTGCATGTGACTGTTCATATACACAAAATAAAATAAGTCACTTACTTTTACTTCTCTGAGACAGGGTCCTGGAACTCACTCTGTAGACCAGGCTGGCCTCAAACTCAGGGATCTGCCTGCCTCTGCCTCCTGAGTGATGGGATTAAAGGTGTGCACAACCACTCCCCAGTCATATTTCTTTTTTTATTTTTCCTTTCTTTTTTTGGTTTATTTGAGACAGGGTATCACTATATGGCCATTGGCTGTCCTGGAGCTCACTATATAGAACAGGCTGCCTTTGAGCTTGAGGTCTCCCTGCCTTGGCCTCCCAGGTGCTCGGATTTATCTATGTATTTCTTAAAGGATATAGTGTAAATGCATTTTTAAATTCAGAATCAGAAAAAAAAGACATTAGTTTTGCTAAATTTCAGGGGTTTTTTTTGAGCTGAGGATCGAACCCAGGGCCTTGTGCTTGCTAGGCAAGTGCTCTACCACTGAGCTAAATCCCCAACCCCAAATTTCAAATTTTTAAACAGAAACTTGTGAGCTCATGAAAGTTGAGAATGTTTATGGTATTAGAGAATCATAGGGTAATTGGGAAATTCTTTAACATACATTAAGCAGCTTGTTTTTTAAAGGGATAAGTATGATGAAATTGTTGCAAGGTGTTGACTTGCATGGTATATTTTAGAAAAAATATGGCTTAGATTATTTGGGGTAGAGTGAAATTTTTGTAGACTTGCAGATAATCCTGCTCTTACCTTGAGTCATGAAAACAGGTGGATGCTGTGCTGAACTGGTGTAAAGCCTTCCTTTGTATGTAGATATCCAACTGTAAGCTTTGGGTATCTTTGGACTATACATTTGAGAGTTGTTTTGTGTTTTGATTTTTGTTTTCGAAACAGGGTTTCTGTATAGCTCTGACTGTCCTGGAACTGTAGACCAGGCTAGCCTCTAACTTACAGAGACCCTCCTGCTTATGCCTCCTGAGTGCTGGGATCAAAAGCGTGCACTGCTACTGCCTAGCTGAACTTTTGACAGTTTTATTTATAGTAACTTGAGAAGTATTTGAACATATATTGATAGTTGCTAATTTTATACTTTAAGGCAAGCTATAGTGAATAAAGTAACTTCTGATTTTTAAGTTCCATTAATTAGGAGACTGCCCATAATTTGTAAGTTGTAGGAAAGGGAAAATATATATGTATTAAGGGAAACTATATGACTGAAAGAGAATTTGTCTGAAAGAGTGAATCTTAAAGGTCCCCAGAACAATTTACCATTTAAGGAGATCCTTAATTGTGAAAGGTGTATAGGACACTTTTCTGTCATAGTTTTAGAATACATTTGATATATCATCGTTTCTTTTATTTGGATCTCTTTATTGTTGTTCACTAGTCATTGATCTGGGTTAGTGTAAGAATCCTATGAAGTCTCCTCTCCCAAATATAATGTAATAAGTAATATGAGAGTATGTTGTTATGTGCATTTAAATTTAGGGTGATGCATAATTGTGTATGAGTCAATGCATTTTTAAAAGAACATGCTCTCGCCGGGCGGTGGTGGCGCACGCCTTTAATCCCAGCACTCGGGAGGCAGAGGCAGGCGGATCTCTGTGAGTTCGAGGCCAGCCTGGTCTCCAAAGCGAGTTCCAGGAAAGGTGCAAAGCTACACAGAGAAACCCTGTCTCGAAAAACAAAAAAAAAAACAAAAAAAAACAAAACAAAAAAAAAAAAAAAACAAAAGAACATGCTCTCTAGCTCAAAAGACGGAAGTACAGAATATTAGATATCTCTAACTCATTGTGTGTGTGTGTACACACTTACGGAGATCAAGGGTTGACATCTGGTCTTTTTGGTTTGAGATAGGGTTTCTCTGTAGCTCTGGAAGTCCTGGAACTCGCTCTGTAGACCAGGCTGGCCTTGAACTCAGAGATCTGCCTTAACCTCTGCTTCCTGAGTGCTGGGTTTAAAGGCATGTGCCACCATCACCCAGCTTGGTATTTCTTTTTTTTTTTTTTTTTTTTGGTTTTTCGAGACAGGGTTTCTCTGTGTAGCTTTGCGCCTTTCCTGGAACTCACTTGGTAGCCCAGGCTGGCCTCGAACTCACAGAGATCCGCCTGGCTCTGCCTCCCGAGTGCTGGGATTAAAGGCGTGCGCCACCACTGCCCGGCGGTATTTCTTTTTTAAATCAATTTTTTTTTTATTTTTTTTTATTTTTTTTTTTTTTGGTTTTTCGAGACAGGGTTTCTCTGTGTAGCTTTGCGCCTCTCCTGGAACTCACTTGGTAGCCCAGACTGGCCTCGAACTCACAGAGATCCGCCTGGCTCTGCCTCCCGAGTGCTGGGATTAAAGGCGTGCGCCACCACCGCCCGGCTCTTAAATCAATTTTTTAAATTAGTTAAAAAATTTAAACTGTTTTTTAAAATTAACTTCTCTCCTTTCTTTACTTTTCTGTTTGAGATGAGGTGGCTCCCTGAATTAGGAGCTTGCTGATTGAGCTAGGCTGGTTGACCTGGCCGGGGAGCCCTAGGGGGTTCTTGTGGGGCTTCTTGCCTCACCAGTGCTGGAATGACGGGCACTTGTGTGATGCTGTTTCACTTGGGTTCTGGGGACTGCATTCAGGTCCTCATGCTTGCAAAGACTGACTGACCTATCTCCCTACCAGGCCCAGTAACTAATTCTTAGGTCGAAGAATGAGTTCTTAAACATATATGTGTTCTAAATTTCTTACTTCTTTTAGTGAAACTTAGACATGGTTTTCAGGTTAGGTTAAGTTAAAGATTTGTGTCCTTTTAGAGAGGACCCATGGGAGGGTGGGAAATTTCAGGGTCCATTTAAGAGGTACAGATTTGTGTGCTGTCTCTAGGACTCTCTTGTAGGACTTTAGATAAGTCATATGCCACCCCTCCCCTAATTTGTCCCTTAATTTATTTCTGAAGTGGAGAGGTCAGTGAAAATCACTGCAAATCCAATTAGCTTTAATATTCCATAGTTTTTGAAATGAAGAGAAATATGTGTCACGTGTAGAACTGGTGAGACAGAGGGTGGGAATCGGAGGCATGCTTGTGAGCATGGGGCTGCAGTCCTTCGTGATGTTTGATGGGCAGGGAGAGCCTTCCCACATACTGTTTTTGTTTACTTCAAGGGGTTATCAGCAGCAAGATGCCCACGAATTCATGCGCTACCTTTTGGATCACCTACACTTGGAACTTCAGGGTGGCTTCAATGGTGTTTCCAGATCAGCAATTCTACAGGAGAATTCTACTCTGTCTGCAAATAACAAATGCTGCATGTAAGACTTAGCTTACTTTTGCTCTACTCAGAAATGTCTGCTGGTGTGTGTGTGTTGTGTATGTGTGTGCGCGCGCGCACGCTTGCCATGTGCTTTTGCATTTACATTTACATCTTGATGTTGTTCTCATTATTTTTGGTGAGATTTAATTAGCATTTAAAAGGTTTTCTACCAGATATACTGAATAATGTAATACTACTGAGAGCAGGGACCCGATCTGTAATCTCAGAACATTGGATTGTGAGTCCAATTCCAGACTGAGCTAGTAGTGTCTCTTGCACACACAGTAGTAATGTTTGCTAAAAGCATTTCTTTCTTTTTGAGTAAAACTGAGAAATTAGTAAGTTTTCTGAATTTTTTCTTGTCCCTTACTGTGAACAAAACCTTTTGTCTTGTTTCCTTTATATTAACAGCCTGAGACATACTCTGATATCAGAACAGCTATTTTGCTGAGAAGGAAAGTCTTTTTTATTTCAGTATGGATTCTAGTCATTTACAATTTTTAAAGACAGAGCTTTACTCTGTAGCCCTGGCTAGCCTGGGACTTCCAGAGTGTGCCTGCTTCCTGAGTCTGCACCGTGCTCGGCCCTTTTTTTTTCAGTTGTCAGTATTCTTTATAGAGGATTCTTTATGTAGGAGAGGGACTTAGAAGACACTGGTACTTTCTGGTCGTTGGCACTCACCCTCCAATCCTGCAGTGTCACTGAAGAGCGACTGGTGTGAATTACCAGCTTCCTCCAGGACCCTGAAGTTCCAGTCAGAGCACAGGGTAGAAAAGGAAGTCCTAAAATCCAGTCAAGCTGTTTGTTGTCCTAGCACCAACTTAAAAATAGTGTTAAATAAGAATTTGTATATTATAGCATATTCATATATAAAAATACTGATCTGTGCTCTGTCAAAGATAACCTGTATGAAATGAGAGCGTATGTGTCCTTAGTATCTTATGAGCCCGGGGCATTCCAGTGGAATTGCACTGTATAATCTTCATGGGATATAATTTTAGTATTAGTCTATTTAAAGACTAGCAATTGCAAGTTAGAAGAAAAAATATATCAAATACTAAAGCTTTCCCTTTATTTGCTTCATTTCATGGGAGGATGTTTCAAGATCTAGAGATATTTGTTAAAAGCACTTCTGGAAGCTAGGAGTGGGGTGGTAATGAGATGGAAATGCCCAGACAGTTGTTAGTACTAATACAACAGAACAGTAAGCACTTTGGAAATTATTAATCTTTTTTTTTTTTTTTTTTTTTTTTGGTTTTTCGAGACAGGGTTTCTCTGTGCAGCTTTGCGCCTTTCCTGGGACTCACTTGGTAGCCCAGGCTGGCCTCGAACTCACAGAGATCCGCCTGGCTCTGCCTCCCGAGTGCTGGGATTAAAGGCGTGCGCCACCACCGCCCGGCTATTTTTTTTTTTTTTTTTTTTTGGGAAATTATTAATCTTAATGCCATGCCCACCAGATGGCTGAAACTTGATTTCTCCCAGGAAATGATTATGAGGAATGAGTTTTAATGCACAGCTTTTTAATGAAGCAGTTTCCATTTCAATTAAAGGCAACTTTGCATATGTACATTAGCATGCAAGGGTCAATTGTAGCTCCTCATTTTCATAGAACTTGTATGTTCTTTGGTTATGACACAGGTATAAATGGAAAACCTGAAATGGTTGTTATGTCTTGTAGTTCCTAATGTCCCTTCAGCCTTTTAAAATCCATTTCTTTTGCATGTAGTGAAGTTGCTTGGATAGTTTTTTGTCTACCATCATGGCAGTAGGTTTAACGTGGTGTGGTGCAGAAATCTCTGCTCAGTGTAAGAGAAACTGGTTGCTGCAGGCAAAATGGTATTTTCTGGTTCAAGTAATTGTACAAGGCTCACAAACAAGTATTTGTTGTAATATTATTACAGACAGGATCTCTGTACAGCTATGTAGATCAGGTTGGTTTTGAACTCTTGGAGATCTGCCTGCCTCTGCCTCCTGAGTGCTGGGTTAAAAGTGTACACACTGACCCTTGGCCATTATAGTACTATTACTGAGAGCAGACACTGAACCACCTCAATATCCATTGGTAGTGTCTTGGTTAAATAAAGGGCTTAATGTGGAGAGCAGCTGCATGACCTAAGCTGGGTCCTAACCCTCTGTCTCAGCGTCGTGGTCTGCAAAGCAGAAACAGCAGTATATATACACAGCTCTGAGCGCTCACTTCACAAACAGGGGTGCTCAGAATGGAACCCACATACAGGACACTTGCTACTCCAGGTACCCTTTCTTCTTCCTGAGCCTGTGGTAGGTCTGGAACCTAGACACAAACTTATGGGGAAAAAATACCAGCAAGCGAAGGTGTTGCCTGACTTTTTGCTGATAAAATAATGGTGAACACCCGAAGTGCTGTTTGGAGTGAGGATTTCATGTCTAGCAAGTCTTGGAGTCAGGTGCTCTTCCTGTCGCTCTCCGTGCTCATGCAGCTGGAGCAGAGGAATAACCATGTTAGAGCATTCAGGTGCTGAATTTCTCGTTGCTTGGTAAGGTGGTGTCTTTTTATTTACACTGTTTTTATGAAATTTTAGTGCTTCTGACAAGGGCGCACTAGTACATAGCACCTTTTCTTACCTGTAGTGGTTGTTAACTCAAGCTGTAGTAAATGTCTTTATTTCCTCAGGTTGAGGATATGACATCAAGTAGTTTGGAACATTCTGTATACTCAGCAAGGCCTTACAGTGAAAGAGTAAGACGCAAGGCCACACTTACGTTCTGATGGGTGTGTTCTGATGGTGAAGCTGACACCTATCACATGTGCAGTCACTCACGAGATCTGTTTTCCCAGGGTTAATGTTTTAAGAACTAAAAGAGCGATTTTTATGAGCTGTTTCCCATGTGGTGTTTCTTTAGAAATGGAGCATCAACTGTTGTCACAGCAATATTTGGAGGAATTCTCCAGAATGAGGTCAACTGCCTCATCTGTGGGACAGAGTCAAGGAAGTTTGATCCATTCCTAGGTAAGGGGATGTGCTGCTGGGTTTTGTTGTTGTTTTGTTTTTTGGTAAATCTGTAGTGAAGTCAAGTGCCTTTAATAACTCTGGTTCTTTCCTTTTAAGATCTCTCTTTAGATATTCCAAGTCAGTTCAGAAGCAAGCGCTCTAAGAACCAGGAAAGCGGGCCAGTTTGCTCATTACGAGGTATGGGAATTTTAATGTTGCTTTCCTGTTAGAGCTCATAGTCTGGGCAGCTTTTTATCTGTGTGTGGTTCACACTGTGTTGTACTTACTACTCCCAGATCCTGTAGGAAGAACACCTCCACATGGTATGTCAACGAAGGGTAAATACTTAGGTTTCTTCTCTTTTTACCTTTTTGTTGTTGTTTTTCAAGTCAGAGACCCTGACTGTTCTGGAACTCACTCTGTAGACCAGGTTGGCCTCAAACTCACAGCGATCTGCCTGGCTCTGCCCTCCTGAGTCCTGGGATTAAAGGCATGTGCCACCACTGCCTGGTGAAAAAGTATATTTTGAGGACTGGTGTTTTTTTTTTTTTTTGGTTTTTCGAGACAGGGTTTCTCTGTGTAGCTTTGTGCCTTTCCTGGATCTCACGCTGTAGACCAGGCTGGCCTCGAACTCACAGAGATCCGCCTGCCTCTGCCTCCCGAGTGCTGGGATTAAAGGCGTGCGCCACCACCGCCCGGCGAGGACTGGTGTTTTAAGGGAGCAGGAGAACTCTAGAAATCATACTAAGGAATGGATAGGCTCAGAAGCTATACCTCACATGGACCCACCCAATATTATTATTTTTAAAGGGAGAATATACTCCAATATAATAATACCTGGGAATTTCAATACTTCACCTTCCTTAGTGGACAGACAGACAGAAAATCTGAGTTGAGCCATACTACGAAGCAAATGAACATTTACAGAATATTTATTGCAGCTGCAGAGTACACGTTCTTTTCAGTACATGCAGTATTCTTTAGGAAAGATCAGATGCTAGGTCAAACATGGAAGTCTCAGTGTGGTGGTCCATGCCTGTAATCCCAGCACTAGGGAAGCCAGGAAAATTTCACATTTGAGGCCAGCCTGGGCTATGTGGTGAGATCCTGTCTCAAAACAAAGAAGTCACAACAGAGTAAAACTGTAAATCAAGGAGGATATACAAGGGAAACAACTTGCTCTTAAATGACCTTGAAGACAGAAGGAAATAAAACATCTAGAAACATGATAATGACAACATATTAGAAGTAATATTGATAGAGGCGATGCAACAAATATATACATAAAGATGGACAGAATAAAGGTCAAATTGGAAATACAATTGAAACTACTAGGAAAATGGAAAAGCTTTTTGAAAAGATAAAAAACCCGAGAGGATGGATACCATAAAAATACAAAGAAATTATGAACAACTATACAAGACATGGGTAAATACCTGAACACATACAACCTACCAAAATTTAGCCAAGAAACACAAAGTATAAACAGATGAGTAATGGGCTTGAAACAGTAATTGAAGGCCCACACCTTCCTTGATGTTCCTGTCTCTGGACACCATTACACTGGCCTGGTAGATCTGTCTTTTACAGGGAAATGGGTGGAACCAGAGGATGTCATGGTAAGTGAATAAGCTAGACACAGATATGGATCACATGTTCCTACTCACACTTGAAAATGAAGACACACCAACAACTTAAAAGTAGAAATGATGGGCATGATGGGCATCACCACAGTGAACCATTGATCTGTACAATTAGTATGTGTTAGCTACAACAAATGGAGATGGAAGGAATTCTGCCCAGCTGTCTTCATAAAGCATCACTCAGTATCTTCCTGTGGTGATATAAAGGAGCTGGCATACCAATGTTTCTGTAAAATAGAAAATGTAGTACACAAATAAAATGTAAAAAAGCCACAACATAACCAAGTGGGAGTCATCCTAGGGATGCAAGGATGGTTCAACATACTCAAACCAATAAACATGATACAGAATAGCAACAAAATGAAGGACAGAATCCTTGCAGTTATTGTAATATATGTGATAGAAAAAAGGTTTGATGAATTCTAAACACATTAGAAATAGTCATAATACCAAAGGCTGTATAGTAATAAAGTATGTGACTGACATTGAAAGAACCTAGAAATTAGTCCATGTTGATACAGCCAACTACTTTTTGATGAAGATGCAAAAAACATACAGAAGATAAAGGAAAGCCTTTTGATAACAAAATTGTATCCACATATACAGAAGAATGGAACTAAAGTCTCCTCACTGAATAAAAATATGAACTCAAAATGATCATCTCCCCCTTTTAAACCACTTTCAGGGGCATGTTGAATTTATTATGTAGAGATGGAAATGTGTGATCACCTGTAAGTCTTGTACATGTGTCAAGTCTCCTGCAGAGCTGGACCTGGACATTTCCCTAGGTTGTCCTATTTGTGTGTTACTAGAGACTCTAACCTTGTACTATTCAAGCCCTCTCCTTTCCAATGAATTTGTATGTTATGCCCTGGAGGCTTCTGTCAGTGACGTCTTCCCTCAAGGACCCTACTGTCGTATTACAAATCCTATTGTCCCAACATAAAGTGCAAACATTTAAATTGTATTACATTTGTGTGTATGTGGAGGTCAGAGGACAACTTGGAGAAATCTGTTCCCTCCTTTACCGGGTGGGTCCTAGCAATCATACTCAGGTTGTCCGACTTGGCAGCAAGTGCCTTTACTCACTCGCCGAGCCAGCTCACTGGCTCATTACTATGAGATTTGTCTTAATGGCATTAATCTTTTTAACAACAGTCTCTTTGTTCAGGCCACTTCATTCAGAGTTTCAAATCTGCTCACATACCCCCTTCATCAACTGCATATGTTCTTAATGTTTGCTCTTCCTTTCTGTAAATCTGGCCAAAAGCAGTGAGCCACAGCTATACTACAACCTGTATACTACACTGTTTTAAAATTTCCTCCACCAAATAAATCAGCTAGTCCACAGCATAGTTCAGCTTTACTCAGGGTAGCAGGACACAGGCAGATGTTACAGATTGTAGCCTGAATGCCCAATCCAATAAAGTCCTTGAACCTTCATTAGCCTGTTTTACTGTCTGCATTTCTGTTGGTGTTCTGATCTTCCACACTCCTGCCAGAGTGGCCATTATGCTGCTGACAGAATTCTAGGGCTTCTCTACCTAGCTGCTCCAAACTTGTATATTCTTTCTACAAACCAGTTCTAAAGGCCCACAAATCAAAAAAGGTCAGACTTACCACAACAAAGACAACATTTCTTGGTAACACTTTTCTCTGTGTTACTTTTCTCATTGCTGTGGTAGCAGCACAGAGGAGAAGGGGTTTATTTTGACTCATGGTGTAAGAGGTTACAGTCCATCCTGGTGGGAAGGGCACAGAAGCAGCTTGTGGTATAACTTAATATCTCATGGGCTAGGAAGCACAGAGCTCACGGCAAATCCTACAAGGCCATCCAGTGCCCTCTTCTGGCTTCTTGGGGGTACTGCAAACACATGGTACACATTACATGAAGAGAAAAACCTATACACACAAAATAAAAAAGATAGAGGAAAAAATCATTTTGAATACAGCAAAAGACTCCCTATCATAGTAGCAGCAAAAACTCAAGAAGTATTCAACAATAAACAAAAATAAGCAGGACCACTGGGTATGGCAGAGAATCCTGATAATCTCATTACTTGTAGCCAGAGTGATAGGATTTTGAGTTTGAGGGTAGCCTGGGCTACATAAAAGTAACAAATGACCTAGAGGAAGAAGAAAAAAAGAGCCTCAACCATGCTACGCATGTGAAGACCCAGCATGGTAACAGCAGTTTTTTCAGAATTACTCCCTAAATTTGTTCAAAAGTTTCTCTGTAGGCAGACATTCCTTACGAGAAGCTAAAGAAATCAAGTAGAGGCAAGATAGAAATTGGGTAGGAATGTCCTAAAAGTACTAAACAGCAGCTGTTGATACAAAAATGTGAGCAGGACCAGATCAGACAGACAATGGGCAGTTCTCAAAGCGGCATCATTCCAAAGCACAGCCCTGGCTCTGGCCTGGGAATCGCCTGGCTCTGGAACTTGCTAGAGCAGTTCCTTCACATCCATGGTGTGATTCCCACAGGACCCATCAGGTAACAGTGCCAACCTCAAGCAGCAGGTGGGAAGCAGCTCTTGAGAACATCTGCCCAGTCTGTCTTGGTGGGTGTTCGGCCAGAGCTCTTTGGTTAAAGCACTGCTGGTTGTCAGCTCGGTGGTGTCATGTGGTGAATACCAAGCTAACATTAATAGTTGGACCGAAGGAACAGGCACAGAATGTTGTAAAAATGGCTTATGAGATTATATGTGAATGTAGAATGATGAAATTTATGTGATAAAAAAAAATGTGTGAGACTAGAGGTTATACCCAGGTACTTACACATAGTTAGGGAAGCATACCACCGAGCTCTGTGCAGACCTTTTAGTATGTTTTATATTGGAACATAAAGTTAGCCACTTACTCACAGTGAGTGAGCCCAAGCAGGCCTTCAATTTCTAATCCTCTTGCCTTGGTCTCCTAAGCAGTCCCATCACAGCCTGCACCATTAGGTATGGTTCATGTGCATTGAAATTCTTTAGTGTTTCCAATAGGAAGTTTGATCCAAGAAGAAATGGAACTGCAATTTTCCTCCCTAATTCTCCCACCCCTACCCCCCCTTCCGAGACAGGGTTTCTCTGTGTAGTTTTGGTGCCTGTCCTGGATCTCGCTCTGTAGACCGGGCTGGTCTCGAACTCACAGAGATCCACCTGCCTCTGCCTCCCAAGTGCTAAGATTAAAGGCTTGTGTCACCACCGCCTGGCTATAATTACATAATTTTTAAAGGCAGTAAAATGTGTACCCTATATACTTTTCATTTACTGGTTTGCTAAATTAGCTTTGCAGAGTACATAAAAGATAATCTAATGACTAAAACAAACCAGTTTTACTTCCTTCTCTCCATGGAGATGCTATTTGAACAATTTCATATGGAAAACTGCCAGTTGAGAAACAGGCCCTCAAACATGAGAATCCTGAGATTCAAAAAGTGTAGATTTCCCCCTAGAAAGCAGTAAAGTACTGTCAGCACCTTACTCATCCTTAACAGTAGTTGAGCAGACATGGAAGCTCTACCAAGATGTGGGTGCTGTCTATGGATGGATGCTCATTGGCCATGCAGTCTGCTTCCCATATGGGCTCCTACGGACTACCACACTAGTACTTTAGGCCCACTCAGTGATAGCAAAAGATAGGTTGTCTCTGGGTATGCTGTCTCTTAAACAGTGTCTGTGTGTATTTATTTTAAGATGTCCTTCCTTCGTGTAGAAAAGCATGTTCTGAGCTAGCACAATGGTTTAGCTGACAGCCACAAGGCTGTAAAGGACTTGCTTTGCAGGTAGGCCCAGAACCCTGTAAAGATGCCAGGCATGCTTGTAATCGCAGCACTGTGTGTGTGGGGGAAGACAAGGGGGGTCCCTAGAACTTGGTGGCCAGTCAGTCAGTGACCCTTTCTCAAAGGAGGTGGGCGACATTTCTGAGAATGACATCTCAGGTGGTCCTTCCTGCCTCCATATTCAGGAGTGCATGCATGCACAGGTAGACAAACACACTTTTTTTAAAAAAGAAACATGAAAACTGACCAAACGACAATAAAACCCCAGAAGAACAGAGACATCCTTTAGCCAGTCACCCTGATTTACCATGGTTAAAGATTTGGGCATTACATGGTCTACATGTAGCAGTACTGTTTGTCCCAAACTCCATCCTTCCTGCCTTTGCTCTTTGTCAAGTACGAACTGCTTGTGGGGGCTGTTCCTGGTCTCCCTATCCTGTTGACTGTCTTGGACCAGTTCCATCTTGTTGACTAGTTCCAGGGGTTCTGGGCAGCTGGGTGAGGTCAGCTCTCCTCCTTGTGCTGATGTGCTGGATGCTGTGGGCCGTCAGTGTGGTTACTCACAAACCCCTTGCTGGGGTCTGTTGGACCTGCATTGACTGGGAGATTTGGAAGGAAGTGACATCCTGCCAGTGTCTTTCTGCCCGTGCGCCTTAACTTCTTGGACTTTGTACATGTAAGACCATCCTATTTGCAGATTTTAATTTTCCCTTTCCATTTGAGATTGTCTTATTTATTTTTCTTGCTCATTGCTCTGGCTGAAACTTTCAGGGCCACGTTGAACAGATGTGGCAAACATGGACGGGGTCCTTGGCTTATTTCGGTTTTGTACTGGGGTGGGATTTCACCCTGAAGTTTTTCATACGGGCTCTTATCACACTGAGCTCTCTTCTAGTCTGGGTGTTAGACAGTGATTCTGAATAAAGGAAACCGCTTTTCTTTCCTCATTCTATGTCCTTTCTCCCATGTCCCCCAAACCCTACCACAGCCAGCTTTTTACATGATGCAGTACACACTGGTTGATAAAAACACCCACGGTTAGCTTCAAAACTCTAAGAGCATCATAGGACCAGTCTAAAGGGAGTCACAGTGCCAGCCAGTCTGCATTGTAGCCAGTGATCTCTAGAGCTATAGAGATACGGCACTTGGGAGGCCCCTGAAGAGACAGAACCCTGTGTTTACAAATTCAGGTCTAGTAGCAGAGGCTTGCTCTAGGAAGGGTAAGGCTGAAACAGTATGTCTTCTCTGGGGACCACTGGGATAATGGGATCTATCAGGATCAAGCTGAGGAAGGAAATGCAGCCTGAGGAAGGTTTAAAGGAAGGAGTGGAAATTGCGCTGAGATATGCCTAGAAGGTATTAGAATCATGAGCAAAATCTGCCGTAGATGCGTGGGCCTCACGACTCTTGGGGGCCCATCAAGTACAGGCCACACTAAGCTCTGCTAGACTTTGCACTGTCTGATTTCCCAAAGGGACACTTTTTGGCACTGCATCAGGGAGGCCAAGGCTGACTCTGACCTGAAACTCTTGAGAACAGTGACATCATTGCCTTTCCTTGCCTATCTAGGTTCTGCGTGCGACTCATCTTACCAAGTTAATTCACTGTTTTACAGTCTATAATACAAAGACAAGCAAAGAAATGAACACCACAGCCAAGGGTCACAATCAGGGAGAGGCCGAAGAAGTGTCTGACCTAGTACTGGCCCACAGCTGCATAGGTATCCACCCCATGGCTCTAGCAGATGCTGTGTGCACAGACTCTGGCTTCTCAGGTGCTAGACAGAGTCAGTCTCTTGCCCTGAGAGTTGGGTACACAGGCATTTGTATTTTTCCACGCAGTAACATGTATCTTCAACAGATTTCCAAGCTACTAACTGCAGCAGGAGTCCAGAAAGATTTCCTGTACAGGCCCAGTGAGCACAGAGGCCTTCCCATCTCTGCTCTTGCAGCATAAAAGCAGCCAGACCACGTGCAAACAGAGCCAGGTCGCTCGATGATCTGGCTTAGGACCACAGTTTACCAACTCCAGATTAAACAATTAAAACCTTTTAAAAGAGTATAACGTAGCCATGCCTTATCTAGGGGGCTCTGGACAGGGATTTAGATTAGCTCTAAGACTGGAATGTTTGAGCTAAATCTGACTTTATGTGCTTGGGTCTCTATTAGAGTGTTGATTTCACCAGGAATCCATCTTTATTAGCATTTACAGATGAACTCATGAAAAGTGTGAAGTAGCTAGGTATTTTAAGCCTGGTCTTTCTTCCCAGCAAACATCTCCTGTTTCTAGCTTGATCCTGGGGATGGTTCACTTTTTTTCAAGTTCTAGAACTTGGAACCTGGGTCGTTTTGCTTCAAGTTAGTCTTCCCCCAAGTGCACTGCCTCTAGAAGAGCCAGCTCATCTTAATGCTGTCAAAACCACTTACTGCAGATTGTCTCCGAAGCTTCACCGACCTGGAGGAACTTGACGAGACAGAGCTGTATATGTGCCACAAGTGCAAAAAGAAACAGAAGTCCACCAAAAAGTTTTGGATTCAGAAACTTCCCAAGGTCAGTGATGTGTTTCAGTTAGGGTCTTTTCATGAAGATGCCCGGGGAGAGTTCGATGAACTGTAAACTCTGTGAACAGTTCCGCCTGGTCTGGAAGGTTTGCAGTCAGAGTATCAAGTCAGAAGAAAACTGGGCGTGCTGGACTGAGCCAGCAGAGCTGGGCAGTACCGAAAGGCGAGTCAGCTGGGGTTGTTCTCAGTCTTTGTCCTGATCTGTCACCAGGTGCTGTGCTTGCACTTGAAAAGGTTTCACTGGACAGCGTATTTAAGAAACAAAGTTGACACGTACGTAGAATTCCCGCTGAGAGGCCTGGACATGAAGTGCTACCTACTAGAGGTAAGGCAGCTGGGAGAGGAAGTCTTGGCAGGGAGGCAGGCCCTGGGCTGTCATTGACCACTGCTCCTAACTCAGCTCTCCGGTACCTCTCCTGTGTTCTGTAGCCAGAGAACAGTGGCCCAGAGAGTTGCCTGTACGACCTTGCTGCTGTGGTGGTGCACCATGGCTCTGGGTAAGTGGCCAGCTTCTTGGAGTTGGGAGTACTTGGTAGCCACAGAAGATGGCTGCAATTTCTAGTCACTCACTGATTTTCCCTGTACTCCCTAAAAATGGGTGCAGAGTCATTAAAGGGTACAGAGTGCTCCTTTGTGGAACACTCCTGAGAAGACTGGCTGTGAAGCATGAAAGCCCTACAAAAGCAGAACTGGGAGGAGCAGTCCATCCTCTACTCCACACCACTACAGACTGGCAGCCTTTGCCATAACTTACCAGGTCGTCTACTTTAAAGATTGACTTTTAGTTTTGTGGAGTAAGTCTGGTTTTTGGGTTTGTCCTGGAGGCTTGGTTTGTACTTGGGGTTTACCTTTCTGATTTCTGGTCTGATAGAGAATAATGACTTTTTTATCACAGATCCTTTCCCTCTCTCTGTGTGGATACTGTTCCACTGACTGTCACAGTGGGGAGGCTGAGCCCACTGGTTTTTATAAGCACCCCGTTGCTTTTCTTAAACATAAACAGGGACACTTGTCGGGTCTTTACTAATGGAAGTATTGTATATTCAGCCTCATTCTCTTTTCCCTCCTGGAATCTGTTTGGTCCTTCCTGCCCCGAACACTGTGCTGCCAGTGCACCGTCAGAGTTTTGTAGCCGGCAATTGTCCTTTTCTAACATCCAACTCCTGTTTTATGCTTGCAACGTCTTCCTGTCAGTGTTGGCATGGAGAGTTCTGGCTTCTCTCTGGCCTTCTGCTGCGTGGGATCCCCGTGACTGTCTCACGTCTCCCTTTTTGCACTCTTCTAAAGCTGGATCTTCCCCTAGTGCGTGGGAAAGCAGGACTGCTCAGGCCCTTGGGGCAGCCATGGCGGTCTGTACCTGCTCTGCTCACCGGGTCCGTGCTGACAGGGCAGTCACAGGAGGCTTTCTTACTGCTGAGCTGGGGTGTTGCCCCCTCTTTCTGACAAGAACTCTGTCATCAGTTTTGCATGTTTTCCAGAGGTTTCCACATATACTTACGAGGCTCTCTACAGCTCTCTAGTTTCTGCGTTGCCTCTGGGCCATCTGCTGTGTGTTCTAGAAACTCATTTTGTGGTCAGTTGGTGTATTAGTTTCCCACTGTCAATATATTCCTTGTCTGTGGGTTTAGAGGAAGGTAAACACAGGAGCTCAACTAACCATCTCAAACTAGAGGTTTCCAGTATTTATTCTTTAATTACTCTACTTATTAATACCTTTAGCACTGCACAGCTGCAAAGATCCTTTTGTGACTTCTGTAGTTTTTTGAATCATCATTTGAGACTGGGTCTCACTGTGTTACCCTAGAACTTGCTGTGTAGACCAGGCTGGCCCCAAACTCAGAGATCCCAAGTGCTGGAATTGAAGGTGTGCACCACCACCCAGACCTTTTCCTATTTACTCGTTCATTTTACTTCTAGTCTTTTAACTTTTGCCCTTTCTTTACAGGGTCGGTTCTGGACATTACACAGCATATGCAGCTCACGAAGGCCGCTGGTTCCACTTCAACGACAGTACTGTAACAGTGACTGATGAGGAGACCGTTGGGAAGGCAAAGGCCTACATTCTGTTCTATGTGGAGCGTCAGGCCAGAGCTGGATCAGATAAACTTTAATACCTCCTCTGACCACAATTCAACTATACCGGACAAACATTTCCAACTTTCCATAAATACTTGATCCAAGAGTTAATTTCGTTATGCACTTTTCAATTTCCAGTTTGGGGTTTAGTTTGGTTGATGGTAGTGACTTACTCAGTATGGGCACCAACTAATTTTTGTTGTTGTTCCACCAGAAAACCTCGGCAGGCATTTGGATTGGCTGCTTTAGTTGTAATAACTCAGTTTTATATGTAGTTTCCAGGACTTAGTTCTGTTTGACTTTTTATATTAATGTTTTCAGTTGTCACCAAGGCACATGCTGAGAGCCACCCTACCTGCTGCCTTTCATAGCTACTGGCCAGGTCAGGGACTCCAATGAGGATTGTGTGCGCAGGACCTGTGGCCCACTGGTCTCACAGTGACTGCTCAGGAATTCCTCTGACTGTAGGTGGTAGCTGAAGGTCAGTAGACCAGGCCATTGCCACTGCCTGTGTCTCTGGGCTTCTGTTTCTCAGCGTTAAATAAATCTGTCAGTTCTGTCGCATCTGTGCTCAAGTTCCAGAATTGCTGTTTGTTTCTGTTCTACTGTATGTCCTTGGAGCAGACAGGCCAGGAGCACTGAGAGTGTTTGAAAAGCCCTGTGATTTAGCTGCATGGTAGAGGTATGTCCCGTGAGGTGGACTGTTTGCCCATCAGAGGTGAGGTGTTACCCTCCAGAGTTGATAGTCACCCGACTTCAGGTGTTGCTGTGGCACCCCTTCCAGACAGAAGTGGAGTCATCTTTAGTCTGGTTTTTAACTCGCTCCCTGCCTGAGAGCAGAGCCAGGGGAAGTATTTTTGTCTCTAAACAGGAATAGTTTCTATTCTTGAATTCAGTAGCTTAAAAAAAATTGTTCACAAAAGTAGGTAGAAGCACTGTTTGGATTCAGCCCAAACTGAAATTTGGCCCATTTAAAGAAGGCGACTCATGGCAAGTACTGGAGGCCAGTGACTGACCGTGGGGTGGAGGGAGTGGAACCTGCAAGTCAGGGTTCAGAACTCCAGCACGGCTTGTTCTGTGTTCACCTCCAAAAGGGACAAGATGTGCTTCATGCAGACTTTGTAGCAATCTTATTTTTTCTATTTAAGGAAAAGTTTGGTAGCTTTTCTTGGTTAGTGTGAAGTTGATGGAGCAGACATGGCCCAGTTCCACTTTAATATCAGCTGGATAAATTCTGCATTCCTTTCCAGCAGAAATGACACACTGGATCAGCACTTGAACACAAACCTAACTTGAACCTGTCAGGACAATGGCCACATGTGGTTACGTTGAAAATACATTCCTCAGTCACAGTAGTCATGGTCCCAGTGCTGGACTCAGTGCTGGATTGTACAGGACAGTGCAGTCTGGTGCACTTCCACAAGGCATGGGTTCTCTTGCACAACACTGGTCTAAATTGTCATGCAGACAAAGCAAGCTGTGGCATCGTGTTTTAAGCATTCGGGAAGACATGAAGGAACTGAGTTAGGAGGTAGAGGCATATGCAGTTCTATTATTCTACTGGTTTGATCCGCAGACTGAGAGTCACATGATTGGCTCTAATGTAGTAGAACCTTGATTAACACAACAAAGCCTGACTGTCTTATCTGACCTTGAACAAGCTCCTGCAAATCCAGGCTCCTCTGCTTAGAAGGGAGACTCTTTGACAGCGGCACTTAGGTCTTGGCCTCTCCATGGGCAACGTAATGACGTACACAGTAGACTCGGGAGCGGACACTGTCACATCGGGGAAACAGCGGCACTGCTGGGTGGACTGTGTGACTGCTATGTTGGGGAGAGCAATTTTTAAGGCAGGCAATGCTGTTGGCATACAAGGGAGTGCATCATCTCTGGGAATTTTTGTAGTGGTTTGATTGCTTGATTTTACTTTACAATGTGTGAGTGGCACCATGAGGACTTTTTGAGAAAGTGACCACACCCATTTGCATTGTGCGTCTGAACATCACGATGTAAACGTGCCTATTTCTGCTGCACCTCTTACAAGCTTGCCTTTCTGTGTTAAGGCTTTCTCCACATCACACATTCTAGCCTGCATGCAGCTTTTTGCTCAGAGCTCATACTCAGGCAGGGCCTCATGCATCCCCTGTCCCATCAGCCCCTGGGAACAGGAAACTCCAAGTCCTCCCACACAGGTGGGGACAAACAGTTTGTGGCAACACAAGTCTCTCTCCATGGTGGAGAAACCTATGCTTATCCACTGTATTCTACTCAGTGTGTAGTGATGACAGATAATGCAATTAAACCAGTCACGTGTGCTGGCCCTGATTTGAGTGTCATGTGTCTCAGCTGTGGAACCTACTCAGCGATTCCTTAGAGCCAGACTTTCCCTCCTTTGGTTTAATGTAGGTATCTTTTACCCACTGTAACCTCCTCACGTCCCTAAACTCTCTCACGACCCTTCTACTGCTGAAGTCAGCTCTTGCTCAAGCTCTGGAAAGGCTCAGGTAAGAGCTGGTATCACAGCCAGAACATAAATCCCCTGTGGCCAGGGGCAGCCCTGAGAAGATGCCACAGTACAGGAGGAAGGGGACACATGTGACTGACTGGCACCACTGGGCAGTAGCCGCCAGATGAAGGGTGGTTGTGCCAAGCTTATCTGCCATTAAGACTAGTAGTCCATCCAATGCCAAGGACATCACTTTGCTCAGGACCCCTCTTCTGCTGTGATCATATCCTAGTCCTGCTTCAGCAGCTGAACTGTTAGGTGCACAGTGTATTAAGGGTCTCTCCTCTTTCCTGTTACTCCTGGGTTGTTCCAGTAGAGCTAAGAAACGGCAGAAGAGCAGGTAGCAGGGTGGTCCTGTAGCCTACATCGGCAGGAGGAAAGGTGGGTGGCCATTACGAGGTTCTGTAAAAGTCCTTTCAGGGGAAGCTGCTGCTGTCCTGTGTTTCTCATGGTGTTGCATTAAGTGCAGCTTCATTAGTTCCAGATCTGCAGTACAGCAGTGCCTGCCCTCATCTATGCACTACACTAACACTGCCACCCTACCCAGCAGGGCAGCTGGGAGGGGCATGCATCTAAACCCACCAGACTTGCAGTTTACTCCAAGTCATTTACACTTCTCTTGCATTCAAAAATAGAAACTGAAAAAGAGCTGCCTCTGCCCATCCTCACATTTTGGGAAATACTGAGACAGATAATGAAACCATGCAAATTTACACACACATACCCCACACTGGCCTGCTCGTGTACAAAACACTTCTGCTGAATCTTCTATGAAACAGTTAAGGGTAAAAATGGTGCCATCTGGGCCAAGAAATCCTTTGCCCAGTAAGGACATTGGGATTTGAAGATAGCTCAGCCTTGACTGGAAGCCATCAATCTCCTGAGATAAAGTAACAGAAAAGAAGTGTGACCCTTGGATTCCACTCACAGCTCGGAATGTGTCACCTCCCTTAGCTCAGTGGATAGAACTCGCCTCTTCCTAGCAAGGGCAAGCAAAGGAGCCACACGGACACACTGAGATCTAACAGTTAACATTCACTACTGCCTTGCCAGGGAGAGAGACTGGCAGGCCAGGAGGGCTGTTGTGGCCAATCACCTCCAGTGAAAACACCTTGAAAAGCCAAGAGCCCTGTGCGCAACACTACTGTCAGCTCAGAGGGAAAAAGAAAAAAACCTTTTAAGGAAACTTTAACTTCAGTGGGCTGCTCTTCTGCCAGGCCTTTCAGGCCCTCTGAACATAAGCCGAACCACAGATGTCTGCGTTGTAAGTCTGGATGCTGAAACCCGCCCTCCCTACCCGGACGGCTTCAGCACCAGTTGTTAGCCAAAAATAAACACCATTCCTCAACCATATATGTCCACCAGTCGTGATCTGGGGAGGGAGCAGGAGGCAGGTCAGACCCTTGCCGGCCACACTCCGTGAGGCCGCCACTCACCATGCACATAACGCAGCTCAATCGGGAGTGCCTGCTGCACCTCTTCTCCTTCCTGGACAAGGACAGCAGGAAGAGCCTCTCCAGGACCTGCGCCCAGCTCCGAGAGGTGTTTGAGGACCCCACCCTCTGGCCCCTGCTGCACTTCCATTCCCTCGCAGAGCTCAAGAAGGACAACTTCCAGCTGGGCCCTGCATTGCGCAGCCTGTCCATCTGCTGGCATTCCAGCCGTGTGCAGGTGTGCAGCATCGAGGACTGGCTCAAGAGTGCCTTCCAGAGGAGCGTCTGCAGCCAGCATGAGAACCTGGTTAATGATTTCCTTCTGCAGGTGTGTGACAGGTAGGCCACCTTGCCCCTGAGCAGTGTGGCCTTGCTGGCCTTGGCTCCAGGGGGTCAGGAAAGCACACTTCCAAGAGCAATATGGCTCAGACTCAGTCTAAGGCAGACAACCAGTGCCCAAGAGTTGGGTAAAATCAGCTCACTCTCAGTCTCTCAGCTCTGGAATCTGCCTCTGTGGCAAAGGAGCAGAGAGGTTCAGCTGGCCCTGTTCTTGGAGCAGCTGTCTTCACTGGCAGCCGTGAAAGGTTGGTTAGGTCCAGCTGAGCCTGAATTTTCAAGGTCAGGCCCTGGGAAAAGACTTCAGAGACATCAGTGGGCCCAGGCCTCTAATTTGGCCCAAGCAGCCCCCCAAGGCCTGAGAATTGCTGATGAGGAAGGAGAGCCAAGTGCTCAGGTGAGCTGAGCCAAAGCCTATTGCAGAGTAGCAGTGAGTGAGTGTGAGGAACACTACTTACCTTGCATAGTACCCGGGGGAGTATTGCAACTGTCAGAGGAGTGTGATGTGCCCAGTATGGGGCCACCAGATTCTTAGCAGATAAGAGACATACCAACCAGTTAAATTTGAATTTGAGATAAAGCAACTCATGCCCTGCAAACAACCCCTATTTGATCTTTTGACTCCTCCCACAGGCTGACCCACTAAATGGGTTGGCCACACCTTCCTGCATTGGGCAGCTCTGGCCAACATGGCTCTGCCAGCAGTTGAAGAGAGAGCTCGGTGCTCGGTGCTCGCTAACAAGCTTGAATGGTTGCCAGCTGCTGTCACTCAAAGTTAATAGCCACTGTTGGCCGGCTCACCACAGGAGAAGAGGAAATAATTACAGTGGCCTGCCTCTCACCTCTTTTCCCCAAGTTGGATTGTTGTAGTGGCTCTGACTAGATCAGGCCAGGCCATTTTGATAGGTTTCACTAGGTTCAAAATCCCAGACTGCAAGGTCTGGATGGAAGGGGGAGTGTCACAACCCCAAGTTGCTGGAAGATAGCTAGGTTTAATCCCCCAAATCAGCAAGATTTGATGTCAGGTTACAGGGTCTGCCCAGCACGGGTCCCCAGTGTCAGAGAAAGTGCCAAGGGAGTTGAGTTCCCAGCTCTGAAGTTGTACAACTGACCCCAGACCAACTGTTCAAACTTGAACTCACCGCATACCTTTTTTCTGCAAACAGAAAATTGTCTTGTGTCACAGGGTGAGAGGATGAAGTGACACGGTAATACCCAGTACACGGGAGAGGGGTCAACTCAGTCGGGCCGGGAGAGAGTCACCTGTTCTGCCTTAGACATTCTCAATCTAAAACTCCAGGGCCACGTCAGGCGATATGCTGAGGGCTTAGACGCACCTTCCTGACGGTCATGAGTTGCAGTATCTGGCCTACGAAGTATCTACCAGTGAAGTCACCTGAGCCACCCGGAGCCAGTCTCTTCATTTACAAAACTGGGGTAGCACGCGGTGGGGTGATGAGTGCCAGTGTGCCCAAGGCCCATGGACTTGAGGGAGGAGGCATGGGCTCGGTGTGGGAAATGGTGCCACGCCCGTTATATTTTAAGTTACTTTCATCGGCCGGGGCACAAGGGGGAAGAGCTGACAAGGTGCTAAGGGACGGTCGTATGGAAAGGAACCTGCTCCTGCAATCCAGACTCGGCTCCTTGACCGCAGGGCCCAGGCTGCCCTCCTGGTCTCCAGGAAAGTGGGTTATGTCTGCCTGCAGGGGTGCCCTGCTCACTCAGACCTCAGTCCTCACAAGCGCATGGGTACACACTGCCACACCCCCCTACCACCCAGAAGTAAACTTTGGCTCAGCCATGCCAGCCACACTACAGAGAAGTCTCGGCAGCGTCCCAGAGTGTACCAACTTCAGGGCCCGCCTCCAGCTGCCTTGGGTTCCAGGCTGCAGACCCTGGGGATGGAGTGGCTTCAGGTAATGGAGCTGAAAGCTAGATGCAACACTATGGCATTTAGTCATCAGCCATTACCCCAGGAGACTTCCGTCCCCAGAGTCCCCGCCACGCACGGCTCCCAACCCCGGGGAGGATCTAAGACACAGCTGTCCCTCCCAGAGACTCGAGATAACGGCTCCAGCAGACGCAGGGGACGGGGCCCTGGCTGCGGTCCTAGCCTTTCGGACTCCAGGGGAGGACTCGAGTCCTGCCGCACCTCGGCCCCGTGTCACCGCGCTCTCCCTGCAGGTGCCCCAACCTGGCGTCCGTCACGCTTTCGGGCTGCGGCCACGTCACCGACGACTGTCTGGCGCGCCTGTTGCTCAGCTGCCCGCGCCTGCGCACGCTGCGCCTCGAGAACTGCGCGCGCGTCACCAACCGCACTCTGGCGGCCGTGGCCGCGCACGGGCGCGCGCTGCAGACGCTGCACGTGGACTTCTGCCGCAACGTGAGCGCCGCTGGCCTGCTTCGCCTGCGCGCCGCCTGCCCGAGCCTGACCCTGAGCGCGGAGCACAGTGCGGCCATGATCCCCGACCAGCCGCCGCGCGCTCGCGCCTGCGCGGCCTCGGTGTTCCCGGCTGCCGCGGGGGGACTGTGCCTACCTCACCCCACGAGTTCCTGCGGAGGACGCGCACGCGATTAAACGAGCGGAGGCTTGGGAAACACTTGGTGGTTCTTTCTAAACGTCCGCCCCGACCCCGCGTTTCCAGCCCCCGCGCGCTCACGCGCCCTAGCGGCCCGGCCGCGCACTAGGCTGGCGAGGAGCCCCTGAACGGCGGAAGAACTCGAGGCTGGGGCCTCCCTAGCCGCTCATGCCCACACCGAAGCAGGATGCACTAACCGTTCTAGAAAAGTCGCTCCCGTCCCCGCATGACTTATAGTTACCAATATATATCCTGCGGTTCTCACATGGGAAAAATGCATAACTTTATAAAAAGCCAGTATTTAAAGATAAAAGTAGTAGCCCTAGTTAAGTGCTTGGATATGGAACCATTATTAGCTGATGAAAAAAACGAGACTTTAATTTCCTAGATTTGCCGGCTGTGGCCCTGGACTTCAGCCATGACCGGGGCCTAGGCCGGGACGGGGCAATCAGGGTCAATGGGCACAGCCGGGAGACGCGCAGGCTCAGCGGGGCTCCTCCCACCGCCCACTCTAATCAAGGCTCGGTCGGTCGTCGTTTATCTGCGGCCAGGTTTTCCAGTTTTCTGTGAAATGGGTCCCCGATTCCGACCCACAAGTTCCTTAATTTGTTTCCAAATGAGAAACAGCAAGAAAAAGACAAATTCTGTTCTCACGGAACCTCTATTCTAGCAGAGGCAGTGATTAATTGGTCTAGAAGGCGGCTTGGGGGTAGGGTGAGGATGACTCTGGGATTGGTGGCAACCCTGGGGGTGGGGAGGCACTCAGAAGGGGCTGACCAACTAAATCTCATGGAGAAGGTGACACTTGCGCCATGAAGCAAGCCAGGGACCCAGCAGGCCATATGGAAAGTGTTATAGGCCAGGAAACTGTAGGGTGCCCGACTCGGAGCAGGGTTAGGGTGTTAGCAAGAGCAGTGAGGTCAGCTTGGCTGGAGCAGGGAGAAGAGGCTTTGAGGACACGAGGAGGGAGCTGTGATGAGGGGGCTGTGAAGGACAGGTTATGGGGAGGACTACACAGGTCCCCTCGTGCCAGCAGGAACCAGCACACCAAGCACGGGGAAAGCCTGTGAAATTCACTGAACATCGTTCAGGCTAAATCCCTCCCTAGGGACTGCTGAGGGGCTTTCCTGCTGCTGCCACGTTCTGAGCAGTGGCAGTGCCTAGCTCCGAATCAGCAGGCACACACACTAGCCCTGGTCCGGCATAATGCCTTTTAACTATGGGAAAGCCTGTGGCTCAGCCACGGGAGTGTCCCAACTGTAATGATGATCCCATTAGCAGGCAGATCTCAGCAAGTACATGGCACCTTCAGGGAAGGTGGGTAAGCCAGGGCAGACGGGGCTGCCAGAACCCCTGGAAACGGCCTTGGGAGCCATCTGCGCCTTCACAGGCTTTATCAGACCACATTTTCCAGCAGCCTCTGGAATGCCTGTCTTCTCAATCACATACCAGGAGGCTGAGGTGAGTGCACGGCCTCTGCACGAGGCAGACCACCCTTCTGGCTGGAAACTGCCCCAAGACCACATCAAGCTGGGGCCTGGGGTCAGTGAAGACCAGGGCCAGAGTGCTTAGGTGGTGGGCCCCAGAGTCCCTGGGAAGTCTGAGGTGGTGCTCTGGGATTTGTTTTACAGGGGCACAGGTCGGTTACTGCACTAGCTGAGTCTCCTGGATTCTACTGTGGCAGTGCTGGCCTGTGACCCAGTGCTTTTCCCAAGAATGTAAAGGGAGACCACCTGACCCGGAGAGACCCTCCTGCCAGCTCGTCCAATCAGTGTCCAACACATGCTTCATCTAGTAAAGGTCACAACCTGGGAGAAGTGGAACAAACCCACGTGTGCATGGACAGCTAGGAAAAGCTTGATTTAAAGGGTCTGTTTTCTTGAGATTGATAAAGGACATAAATCTGCAAGTATTTGTTAATGAAATGAGGACAGCAATTAAGAAACTATACAAATCTCTACAGGGGGTGAATGTGACCCAGGTAAACCAAATCTCTTTCCCCAGACCCAACTGCTGCTCCATAGATAAGAAACTAGTCTTGCAGAATCAAGAGAAGGAAAAAACAAAGCAAGCATGTTTCCAGCCAAGAGACGGCATCCTGCATCTGCGCACTCTTCCCCAGGGCCGGACCTGAGACAAGTGCATTAGGTTTGGGCACCACCCTGCGGCCATGCTCCTACTCTCTCCAGGCAGAGCAAATCTGCCCTTAAAGGCCTCAGCCACAGGGTTAGGCATTATTTTCAATTGAGATAAACTGAAGCCTGCAGACTGCACACCCTTAGCTCAGCAAGAGGGAAAGCCTTCCTGTCACTAGGAGGAAACCCAGAGAAGTCAAAGGGGCCTTAACCCCATTAGCACAGAGCCTTACTTAGTGAAGTCTCCCGGTCCAGAGGCCCACACAGTGCCTTCCCACCTAAGCTCAGAATGAAGGGCTTGTCTTCAGAAGTCCCTGGTGCCCCCCAGAAACGTTAATCTTTCTCTAAGGCCCAACTTCATATGAAAACTTTAACAAAATGATGCCACAATTCTCAGCTTTATCAGGGTTTCCTCTCAGATTCATGCACTACTTATCATGGCTGGCAGAACCTCGTTTTTCTCTCCTGTTCTCTGAACACAAACACTTGCCTTTCCATTTCTCTGCTTGGTACCTTATCTGAGCAGGCGGTCAGCACTGAGCTCTCTCTTGGGTCCATGGGAAGCAGCCTGTGACACAGACTTGGTGGGAGTAAAGAGACAAGCTGCCCAAAGACCTCCCACTCTTGCTGGAATATGCAGAAGCCTCACAGTCACCTAGAGGTGGCCCCTCTCTCCCAACGCATTCAGATGACACTCTAGCACAGATGGGCACTTATCAATGGCCCACAGGGGCTGGGTTCAAGCACCAAGCGGGGCTCTTTCTCAGCCCCCGCCCCCAATTCCCCACCACCCACACACTAGTCCTCCTATGAAGTCAGTTACCCGCTCATCCACACTACTTATTTATGCACACCCAGTCCCAGCAGGCGCAGCTTTCCCGACCACCGTGCCCTCTCACGTCCTTTGGTACTACTGCTGGCTCCTTCTGTCTCCTCTCGTTCTTCACCACGTGGCATTGGCACAGAGATGCTGTCTCACACCGGATGTGCTGAGGCTTTGCAGGGGGAGGCGGTGCTGAAAAGCTCTGCTCTAGGGTGAGGGAACAAAACGAGAGACCCAGGATGCCAGCAGAACAAAGGGAAGGAGACAGTCTAGCCCGGCTTCTCCCACCACTGTGCTCCTCAGGAATGTCTTTTTCAGATGGACCCTGCCCCCAGCTTCAGAATGGTCAAAGCGCATCAAAGTGACACTGGCTGGCACCTGGGCTCATGTCTGCCTCAACTCCTAGCCCAGAGCTTCCCTGGATCAACAGCAGCAGCCCCCACTCTGATTCCTGAATCTGCTTTATTTCTCTGCATAAGGAACCCTGCACAGGCGAATCAAACTAAAACAAAATAAATATATGAATATTCATGTAAAACTGTCCTTTCTAATGAACAATTATACACAATGTACAATTTCATGTTCACTGGGTGGGCTTACAAAAATGTATCATTCCCAACTAAAAATGCACCAAAACGGTTCCATGCAAACTTATCCAAAGTGACCATAAATGCAGAGGGAAACCTGACTGAGCAGTTACTGCTTTTGTTTTTGTACAATCACAGAAAAATAAAAACATCTAGTTTCTTTGATTCATTTGAAGTAACTAAATGTGGCCACTGTTTATGTCGGCTTATGTTCCTAAAACATCTATGCAGTCCCCACGACAGTGTATCACCATCAAATCGGAAGTGAGCATTATGGAGAAAGGGCGACAGCACCCTTAGCCGTCAGTAGTCAGTGTCAGAGCCCTCGGCGTTGTCCACGTTTCTCGAGAGCATGTAGTTGTCCATGTCAATTGAACGGCAGTTGTTGATGGCATAGCGCAGGCGCTCAGCCATGACCAGCTGGCTGGAATAGGGGGGCAGCCGCAGCTGGAAGAAGCAGGTCTGTGAGGTAGGCAGACTGTCATAAGGCTGTGGAGAGACAGACCCAGAGCTGTTACCAAGTGCACCACAATACCAGAGAGCACAGAGCTACTCACTACCAGCCCCAAGACAGGAAAGGGCTTCTCCCTGACTTCAAGACAGATTCTTAGGCTGTGTCCATCTGGCTCATTTGCATGGAAGCAGAGATTAGGTCCTGGCAGAGGCACATGGGATCCACTGTCCTGGAGGCAAGTTACTTCCTCCAATGGCCCTGTAATGTCAAGTGACAAGCCCTGACTAGGTAGGACTGCTTCAGAACACTGCACAGAACCTGTCAGAGTAAGAGGCGAGAGTCCCCTCCTGCCTACCAAGGGGCACAGATTTGAGGTCATGGTGGGGATCTCCCAACAAAGAAAGTGAAGTGGAGGGGGCCAGGGTGCTGTCCCTTCCCGGCTGCACTGCGGTCTGAGCACCTCACTGCTGGCCACAGCCAGTGAGGAAAAGCAGTCAAGCCAGGGACTGCACTTAACCCACAGGGATGCCCACACTGAAAACGGTCATTACCAAGACTGTGTTTGGAAAGCTGGTTTTCGTTGGTGGTGGTGCTTTGTTTGGTTTTGTTTCAGACAAGGTTTCTCTGTATAGCCTCGGCTACCCTGGAACTTGTTCTGTAGACCAAGTTGGCCTCAAACTCACCAAGATCTGCCTGCCTCTGCCTCCTGAGTGCTGGGATTAAAGGAGTGTGCCACTACACTCAGTTTTTAAAGAGGAATTTTAAAAGTGTACAATTGAAAATGGCTTCTGCTAGAAAGCATGTTATATATCTTCTCTGGCCCTCCCTGCTAACAACCATTTTCCAAACTATTTGCAAGGACAGTGATGATCTTATGTTACTTATTTTTTAGACAAGGTCTGTTATACAGCTCAGGCTGGCCCTAAATTAAACTCCCCCTTTAGTACTGGGATTACAGTGTGCATTACAGCTGGCTATACAGTATTTATTTACTTACTTATTTTTAAGATTTATTTATTA